TCTTTCCCAGTAAACAGAAGTGGACTCCTGTCTGAGAAAATCCCCAATTCTTTGTAAAATTATTTATAAAAGAGTCTGGAAATAATCATCTTTTCAGTCTGTCTTCCTCAAAAATAATAGCTGAAGTCTGAAAAGACAAAGGAAACTAAGTACAGCAGTGTTCTACAACTCAAGTTTAACAATACTATATTATAAAAAAACAAAACAAGACTGACTGCATAAACTATTCTGAGTTGACATTATCTGTTTTGGATTAATTTCAATTACTTTTTCATCTTCTTTTTCAAAAAGTATGGAAAAGAAGCAATATCTAAAAATACCTGTTTACCTTTTAAAAAAAATCAGTAACAAGCCATAGTTCAACAACATGACCTCTGAAAATGACTGGTGCTTCAGAATACTACTTAAGAGAATGTACTAAAATGCTTTTTTTTTCTTCAAAGTACGGCAGCTTTTTATCTCCCAATGACAAAAGCATCTGTCTAGAAAGTATCCAAAAAATGCTTCACAGCTCAGTCGTGTCTTCTCATGGTCTCCCACCAGCGTAGAGGACAACAGCACTGAAGACAGAGCTCCTGCCCTCCCGGCCACGCAAGGCACGCCATTTCTGTGGCTACATTGCTGCAGTTTTCCTTTGCCATTTGAACAGCTAACAGCAAAGTGACTTCTGATGAGCAAGACCTGGATCAGCCCGTGAAAGTCGGCTTTAAACTGCAAGAGTTAGGATCTCCCATCGGTCTTAATGCACCAGTCTCCAGTGGTGTCCAGGCCATCTAGTGCAAGACAGTTAACGTGGCTGGTCTGTGCTGCCTCAGCAAAGTAAACTTCCAACTGTGACTTTATGCTCCTTTTTAATTACTATGGTTGGTTTGGTGTTTTTGGTTTTCATTTGCTTTACCGGTGAAGTCAGGAATAAAGAGTGACAGTTAATAAAAAGGGGCACACGTAGTTACACAGCAGTACAGTGGAGGGAATACAGGCAAATGAGCGCCAAGCTACCATCGATTTAACAGAATTATAAAACCTCTTGTTTTGTATCGCTTGATACCACCTTTCTGATGAGTCTTTTGCAGCCTACATCTTGGTCCATAATAGGTAAGGCCTTTATGGAAATGGAGTGGTTTTGCTCTATTTATGTTCCGTTTTTCATCTCCCATTCCTGGAAGGGGTCGGAGGGGAGGAAAAGATACGGAAAAATGTTAGAGAAATCAAGATATTTCACTGATGTCATCAAATCTGCTAAGCCAAAGCCAGCTGAGGTCAGTAACTGATTTTCCATTAACTTTGCTGGATTCAGCCTTCTGCCCACAAATTAGTTAGGGAATGCTAACAAGCATGTCCTGATAGCAACTGCACACAACTTCTACCCTTCCACAACTATATATGGAAACATTTTTCCTAGTGCAATGCAAATAAGCCGTGTTTGTTTTCTGCAAAGGGTACTTACAGAGCAAATTTACACACCACAGCTCATGATGTGGCATATAGGACTTTCTAACTTTCTTGCATGAGACAGCAGAAAGTACTCAGTATCCCCCATAGCTGACACCAAGTGATTGCTTTACTGCTCTTCAGATTTTTTATTGTAAAACTCATTGCAGGGTTTCTATGGCTAAAAAGCAGTGACCCTACCAGGCAGGGTAAAGAAAACCAAGCTAGTTTGCATTTGTTTCCTGTATACATAATCCAAGTTCATTTAGTTAAAGAAATCACCTTGCCTTTCTGTGCCTCAGTTTCCCCACTTGTTAGCTGACAACAATGACCTCTACCATGCACAGCAAAGTACATCATCTATAACGCTTTCATACATGTAGCTCAGAGCAAGGTATTGCTATTTCTTCTGCCCCAAAAGTGAAAATCATGAGCTTGCTACAGCTAAACACCCAGATAAATCAAACTTGTGGCTATTGAGTGACACCTACAGTATTTTCTATCAGTACATAGAAGCAGAAGAGCTGAAGAGGGATGGGCTCAGCTTAGGATGTTCACACTGTACCTACTCCCTGAATCACACCCTTGCAGTGATCAGCAACTAATGCAGATAAAAAGGAGTTGGCCTCTGGCTGAAGGAATCCCCATGGAGCAACCACCCAGCTGTTCTCAGGCAGGCACTGGGGGCTACAGATTCCTCTCCCACCCCTCTACTCTGCAGAGATACTCTTCAGGCAGCCTGCTGACTTGGCTCCCAACCTGAATTCCTGAATTTAACACTCATTCCACAACATTTAAGAGTTCTGACTGAAAACTATTACTTATGCATGTAAGTATCTGTTTCTGCTACTGAAAGCAGCAATAGCAGTAGTTGGGTGAAACAGCTGCATGACCATGACACATCTTCAACCATGAGAAAGCAACAGTAAAGGTCACAGTTGGTGGCTGCTTTAACAGTGTAAGAAAAAAATTCTTAGGTTTAAAGCAGGTAGACAGTAACTTTATCTTGTTTTTTTTTTGTTTTTTTTTTGTTTTTTTTTAATCTTGAGGGTTATTTTTTTTTCTTCATTTAAATGATGCTTTTATTCAAATAGCATTAATTTTAAATATTCAGTTTTACACTTTGAATTATGGTAAACCTAAACTTAGAACACAGCATTGGTAAAAACTAGATTACTCTTAAAAAGGCTATTAAATGCATATTCCCTATGCATATGCTACTGAAGCTCTAAAGGAAGTCCTTGGCTAAGCAACTGGGAAGAGATTTTTTTTTAAAGTGTTAAATAAGCTTTGAAAGAAGGAGTTCCTTTGTAGGTGCAGAAGGAACTTCTTTGTTTCCATTTCTCCAACAGCTTCACACCAATGACAGAATGTTTAAGTCAACATTGACAGCTTGACTGGGAGCTAGGAAACTGGGAGAGCTCATTTTCTTCTCCAGTCCCCGACCATAAGCAAAGTGTAAGCTGCTGACATTCACCAGTCCACCAGTTTTGAAAACAAATAATAAATAAACATTGTATATGTAGCAAGGAAATGGCAATTTGATTTTAGAAATTAATTTCAAATGTTTAAATAATTGTTTTTCTTGTACAGCAAGGATATTCTGACCATTTCAAGTCTTTAGGAAACAATGCAGATATTTTTTTTCACATTTTAATACAGTCTCTGTTTCCAATCAAGTAGAGATTAACAAAATCACAAGTATAATGACATCTGACGTCTTAAAACTATGCATTATTGCTTTTTTAAAAAAAAAATAAAAGCATATGTTATAAACGGAAAAGTTAAAAAAATCAAATATATGTATGCATGTGTATCTGTGCGCCCTTATCAATCAACCCCTAAGCTGCTGCTAGTTCATCTGTCCTCCTGCTTCTTTCCCTGTTTCCTTCTCATGTCAGCGCATCTGATGGGAGAGATTTTGGTGGAGCAGCTCCCAGACCTGTACGACGCAGGTTGAAGAGACCGTGCTGCAGCGTGCACACATCTCACAGCAGCAGCTGCCCTAGCAGAGGGTGGTGCAGGGCTGGGGCTCATGGCCACCGGTGGCATGAGGGTGGCTGCAAACGCAGGGCTGGCTGCTGACAGACTCAGCATCCTTTGTGCAAGGGAAGAGGAAGAAGGGAGGCATTCAGCACATTCAAATACATCCTGGGGGTGGGGGGAAATAAATCTGACATTCTGAAGGCTTCTAGAACTCCCTTGTGACGCGGGAGATGTGCCAGCTGCTGAAGGTGCAAGCGCAAGCAGAGGCGTGGCAGGTGCCTCCTGGCCACACACCGCACCCGTACCCACACCTGGAGAGCCAGGCTCTGCTCTGGGATACTCACGTGTGGCGCCCTTTTCTTAGCCACATCTAAGAGGCCTGGGCTCACTTGTAACTGCAAAAGGCCAAAAGAGTTGAGAGCCAAATTCCACCCTCGCGCACGTACCGCTACCTCCCCCCACGCGCAGGGGAGTGCTGCAGATGCAGACCTGATGGAGGCTGTGGCTGCAGCTCCTTCTGAACGGGTGAGTACAGCTTGGGTTGCACTGTCTAATTCAGCAAAATTTCACTTGATATTTAGTGCATGAGGTTTTAGGGAAAAAGCTGTTAAAGCTGAATTGGATACTTCGAGTTGTTTTTCCCAGCATATGGGAAAATATGCTTGGTAGCTCCATATCCTTTTTGACTAAGCTAATTTTATAACCAAGATTCCTCCACAAGAGAGCTTGACCAACCTATCATGCCATCAAGCAACACAGCAGGGTTTCTCCTGTATCATATATGATGAGCATGAAGAATGTAATACAGCTGGAAGGTATTCTTTACACCAAAAATGCGTAGGTTTCTGTAGTGCCCTGGTTTCTCCAGCTGTTAAGATTAAACAGCTGGCTTTAATGTGCCTGTCCAGCCTGCAGCACAAATCCACACTCCCTTTTTTAAGGACTGTGCTCGGCTAGACCACATTCCCTGAGTAACCCTGTGCTAACTTGCAAATCTAAGACAAATTGTATAGTTAAGAGATGATATCTTTATTAGACAAATTAGGGTATAATTGGAATACAAAGATAAGCTATAGAGCACATGAATCCTTCAGATCTGAAACACAAGCAGCAAACTTCAAAGTTCTATATAACTGAAACCTGAGTTTAATTATTCTTAGTTGAATATATGAATATAAACTCTATGCTGAGTTTAATTATTCTTAGTTGAATTTAATGAATCGTGCTAACTGGCAGAAAAAGCAGTTGATGTCCACGGATGGAGGAAATTTCCTCCATCCATGGTAGAAGAAGGGTGAGAAAGCTCTCACTGTGGTATAGCAGAAGAAATAATTCATGGCCTGGGCAATGTAGAGAGGTTAAAAGGGCTGTAGGGGGAGGAAACAGAGATGAGGATGTGCCAGAAGACCAAACGGTTTGCTGAGATGATGACTTTTCAGTAGCTGCGATGTTTAGGTGTCAGGTGCTCAGTCACTATGAATGTATATAATCCGTGAAGACACATAACAAAACTTACTTAAAGCCCTATAAAGAATACGTCATTGGTTTGAAAAAAGCGATGGACTGCATGAAAGAAAAATCATTGTTTATAATGACAATTAGCAGTGAACTACTAAAACCACAAACGCTTGGGGCAGTGCTGCTTCACCACAGAAGCAGCAGGAACCAATCTTGCCCTTTTTTTTTTTTATCTCAGTAGGATTTTTCAGTTCCTTCAGTAAGATTTTTTAAGAAAGTAAGAAAAAGGGTGGAGAAAGAAAAGGAGACCTAAGCCTTCTCACCTTTGCTTTTCGGAGGACGTGGCCTCGACAGGGAGAGCTGCTTGCGGAAGGAGGTCGCTTGAGGGCGGCTGCGCTGTTGACAGGTAGCGAGCACTCCGTGTCACTGGTGTCACAGCTGGAGATCGGCGAGTTCTCCAAAGTCCGGTGCTTGAAGATTGGAGACTAATGAAGAATGAAAACCCTACATTGAGCTTCCTCCAAGTAGTCACATGGACAACTAAACTGCAGATTTTGTTTAAAGAAATAATGTTCATAATAATGATGAACAGACAAAGAAGAGGTTAGAACAAAAGAAAACAAAACAAAGCGTGTGTTCTGTGGTGAAAGTTAAAGCTCATTTTCTATGATTAATAAACATTGGGTCATCTACAAGAACTGACACATCCCTTCCTGATTCTTCTGATGGCTGCTTCTGACACAGATGTATAGCATAAGCCAGGACAAGACTGCCATCCTTCATCATGACAGGGTGCAGTGACTGACAGGGGACAGGCACAGGGAGGTCTCCATCACTACACGATGACTTGGTGCATTTAAATCTCCCCAGAATGGAATAATGTCCATTGCAATGTCCAAGTTCATGCACTTTTACGACCAATGAGGGCAATGAAGTGTCAGCTTTTACACATTACCTTGACTGTGATTCCCATTTCTACCTGCTCCCCATGGCTGCAGAATGCACATGAGATGTAAATGAAGAATGCAAGTAATGTGGAAAAGTATTTAGCTCTGCTTTTATCTCCTGGGCTTAATAAACCTTTTGAAAACTCTCAGTTCCCACACATTTTACTGGAGCTGAGAAGGCCAAACACTCCCACCCCACGGGACTGGAATGTGCATGTTTAATGGCTTTGCATACCTGTGGGCTTGATGTTCCTGACTTGGGCTCAATAGCCAAGCCCAGTGTGATGCCACCAGCCAAGGCTTTCTTAAGGCTCTCCTTCACCTCAGTCAGTTCTAGTTCCAGGTTTACACGCTCAGCCTCCTTCTGCTTACACTCTTCTTCCAACTTCTTTAACTTGTCTTCAAGAACCACTTGTGTCTTCCTGCCTGTCATCCACAGTAATGTTGTTATTTCAATAAGAAGCTTAAATTGATGCTTACAGAAATATAAGATCTCTAAAAATCAGCAACATCATGAAAAAATCATGTACTTTGCCAAACTCACTATTTTAATGTAAAAAGTTTAGCAACAGAAATAAAATGCTTTCTCTCAAGTGCCCATTCTGTTATTTTTCCACATCATGAAAATTTAATTAGCCAGTCACAATAAAATTATTCCCATGTTCTGCTTGTCTGAAGTTCCCATCAGTGTCATTTCATAGTTGTGTGTATATCATAGTTGTGTGTATTTCATAGTTGTGTGTATGTATATATGAATATACATATACACTTATATGAAATATTTACATAAAATTAAATAGATATTTTTATTATATATTTTATACCTCTATAGAGAGCCAATACAGACACTACAGAAGACTGTTTAACGTCAAACCCAAACCTCATGTAATGGAACATCTTCAACACAGAATACAAAGTTATTTTCACGATTAAGCCTAGCCAGGGCAGAATTCAGCATGAAAAAAAGCACCTCATACCAGCATTTACTTCAATGGCAGCACGTAGATCTTTCCTTTCTTTTCGGAGCTGGGCCAGCCTGTTCCGGAGTGCTTCTTTCCTCTTCAGCAGCTCCTCCTCTTTGCTTTGTAACCTCTTTGCATCTGCTTCCACGCGATTCTTCCCGTACTTGTACTGCTCCGCATCTGGAGGCATGGGATTATAACAATTTATGGTTAAAATTAACAGTAAAGCTCTAAATTATTCTTTAAGACTGAACATCACATGAAACATGTCACAGTCTCAGAAACTTCTTTGGCAACCCTCTCCCACTGGCTTTTTCTCAAGGTCCACGATTCTCACTGAGTTCTGCAGCGTAGCTACAGAAATGGTATGGAATAGTTTGTTCTCTAAATCTGTATGGGGAAGATGAGAAATAACAGTTACCTTATAGTATATTGCTTTTGAAAAATGGCCTTGCCTTTCTATGCAGTTCAGAGGAAGAAAAGGAGGCTCCTCCAGCTCTCAACCTTCGATTTTTAATTGGAAGGGGTCAGAGGAAAAACTATCTGTTTGCCCTTGTGCCTTGTTCCCATTCCTACTTCAAGTGCTTAAAGCACATGTCTTTTCTTACCTGACATGAGAGAATATAAAGATGTTCTCACTTTTTTGATACTTGAGAGTTTTCTTTTTCCTTTTAAATCTCCCATATAAATGCTTTCATTTCATGGCTTACAAGTATCTGTGGTCTGATTTATATCACAGCCCCCTCCATACCGCTGCACCAGTTGCAGAATCAAAGAAAATAAGTCAGCTTTGTCTGTCTGCCTATCTGAAGACAAACTCAAGGACACCAAACCATTCCTGACAAATAGCTGTCAAACCAGTTTTAGTCAGTCTTTAGTAACTGAGATGCCTTTACTCCCACAATTATCTATTATAGTACCAACTGCCCTGCACGCTTAGAAAAATACACACTTTTTTCCCTGAAGTCTACCCTAAATTTCTCTTGTTGCTATTAAATCTATGACTTCTTACAAATTTATCATGGTACTAAAAAAAACACCCAACACATTCATTCCTTCACTAGAAGAAGCTGTGCTTTTGACTCTGTGTTTTAAAATTATGACTATAGCCCTTTTATTTTTTTGTCTTAACCTCTTTAAACAACGTTATCCCGGCTAGGAATGTAGGGATTTCCCAGAGGCAATCCACCTGCCCAGAAGATCCCTCTTTCTGAATGTCACTCATCAAGTGAAATCTCTTCCGTCTGAGGAAGCTTTTGAGCTGTGTGGATGCCTTCATTGTTTTTTGTTTTTTTTTTCATTAGGGATAAGAGTAAGACCACTTTTGAGGAACATAATGTTCTCATGTCTCTCCCAGATCCTCATCTTCCTCTTCCACCAGGAATACAGAACTACTCTCTGTCCCATATTAAGAATCATTATTCTATTTTTTTTCCTTCCTGCTCTCATGACTTTGCAGACATGAGTTCACATTTCATATTTATTGTTCTCCGTATGACAACCTTTTATCTTATGGCATGACTGGAGTACTGAGTCACCAACACACACAATATCTCCTATTCAAAGTCTTGGTGGGCATCTCCTGCTCAGCCTCTCAGCCCTAGAAGAACCACAGTGGTTCTTTATCTCGCATGCCAAAAGGCAGCTATCTGGGGAATCCTCATGACTCCACTCACAGCATGGAGGAGAGATACTTACTGGACGTGGTGCGCTTCACACATGACACCGATTCAGATTTCTTCGGCTGGCTATTTAAAGTTCTCCCTTTTCCAGTGATCCCATTAGCAGTTGCAGGAGGCTTCTTGCCTTTAAACTGTTGGAAAACAACGGTACAAATGGGCTCCAGCTACTCCTGTGCCACTGGCATTACAATCACCCTTTCATCAAGTGCAAAGCTTGACAGAAAGCTGTCTGCTCTGAGAGTCTTAACAAAGCTCATTGATTGAGCTGGAGAGGGTGTCTTCTCCAGAGATGTCACCTCTGAGAGCTGCCTGCTCAGCAGGAGCCACACCAGCAAACACAGGGTAACAAGAGGATGCACGCCTTCTCTCTGGTGGCACCCCAGTCTCCAAGTTACTTAAAACTGTAGCATTTACTGTATTAAGAAAGCCATTGCAAAGCAGAAAATTTGTACCTTTGAGTTATTTTATACAGTAGAGATTCTCTAAACACAGGAAAAAAAAGCCAACAGGGTTTGTCACACAAAAATCCAACACTGTTTCTTATTTACTATATGACCTTGCCATCCTTGTGGTGCATGGATTATTTTTTTTTTTTAATAAAATTAAAATTACACACTTTAAAAAGCTAAGAGTTAACATATCAGTTTCCTCTCATACAACCTCTATATACTAAAAAAAAGTTTTGTTACTTAAAAAAACCTCTCCTAACAGCCAGACGATCTCACAAGATGGCCATAAACAGCACATTTCATGTCCAAGTAGTTTCTGTTTAGAGGGCTCCCCTGCAGTGACCTGGACCCTCAGTAGAGCAACACTGTCCTGACTAATCCTAGTGTTTCCCTGGGGACGCCTCAGCCCAGCACAGGGCACAATGTGCCAGGTTCTGGTCCAAAACCTGCTTCCAAAAGCTTTGGGGACTGAACTAGGAGTGCAACAAGAAGCCTGCTGCTGCAACCAAGGATCAGAGCTTGGGTCTACCTCTGATTTATTGCTTGAGTCTACTTCTGGTTCTGCAACTTCACTGAATTCTAATATCCCAGTGTGAAGGCTTTTTTTGGTGTTAAGCGAGTTAACACGCAATATTGACAGGTACCTTATACAAGGGAAACATCTAACTGTTCCATTTCAGGTTAGACTGAAAACCACCCATCTTTGTGACATGTTCACAGGCTCATGGCCATCTCACAGGCTTATGCCAATGACCAGCTTGTGGAGCCTGGCTACGGGCTCTGGAGAAGGTCCTTGGTGTGGCTGTGAGCAAGGCTTGCTCTGCCCCCCTGCTGGGTCTGTCCGTCTGCTACTGAGGCTGAGTGGCTTTGCATTTCAGCCAAAATCCAGAAGCCTGAGGCCACCCTCAGAAACCAGCACAGACGTAGGCTTAGGGTTTTTTCAGGGGAAGAAAAATAACAAAAAAACCCCAGGCAGTAATTTAAATATTGTATATACACATTATATACAATATAATTTTGTATATATATATAATGTATTTTATGATATATACATGTTCACAATTTATATAATCATTGTATATGCAATTTACACATCAGTAAAATTCTAGAGAGGAAAATTTTCTGTCACAGCTGGGTCACATGTCGCTATTTTTTTTTTAAGTCATTACTGCATGAAGAGACAGAAGGCAGCTAAATATGCATTCAGGTTAGGTTTGGAAGGTCACATCTATTTTATTATCCAATCTTCCAGGACTTGTGGGGAAAGCTCTTCCCAGGTGCCAATACTTCCACATCAGAATTTATAACTTAACAAACCAGTTTCATTTGCAGTGGGCTCATGACTAAACTCCAAGCACTTCAGTGCTAACACTAAAGGGACAGAAACAGCCCAATGCCCTTAAGATAACAACCAGAAAAAACAGATCAGCCAAGACATGAAAAGCTTTGTTAAGAATTAAATAGTACAGTACCTGCGAGCCAGATCCCCTCCCCACAGCAGAGGTATTAGTGACAGACTGAGCAGAAGACAGATTGGATGAGACAGGGTGTTTGTAATGGTTAGAGGAGGGTTTGTCAGTAGATGACCTATTGGGTTTTCTGTCAGCTGGTGGATAGCGCGCAAAGATTTTTGGAGACGGCAAGTTATCGTACAGGCCTGCGTTATCATAAAGCATTTCTTCTCCAGTGTTCCTGCTACGAGAAGAAGGAAAGCCATCTTCTGGTTCCCACTGCAACACATACACTTTGGCAGTTAGTAAACAATACACCATGCAGAACCTCCTAACTGAAATTAAAACATTAGTAATTCTTTTGACCGTAGCAAGCCCTCGGTGTTCAGCAAGCATAAGCTTATTGCTTGTACTTGAGTTAAACTACTTAGAGAGGGAGAGAGGACACAGTGTAGAAAGGAAGCATTGCATTCCATGGCTCAGAGCCTCGCTCCCGGGCATTTTCCACAGTATGACCCAACTGGTACAACTGTACCACCCTTGCTGTTCATAGGCTGCACCTTCAGTCAGCTCCAGCACTGCAGGGGCACAAGCAGACTGTGTTAACAGGGGGATACCCACTCTACACAGATGAATCTGTGGGATTACATCCAGTATATGACTTGTTAAATGTAATATGGCCTAACAGTTGAAGCCAAAAGGGTTTTTTTCTATCTTTTTTTTTTTTTAATTTCTTCAGGCTATATGTTTTCCCAGTGAGTACCAGCTGCTGGAATGCTAGCATTACATTTTATTTGCTGGAGAATTATTCTGAGCTAACCAGCTAAAATAGCTAAAGGCCATTTCTTTTTTTTTTTTTTTTTCCCAAAAAATGGAAAGCTCAACAACAATACTCCAGTGATTCATTCAGTTACTCTTAAAAGAAACCAACCTGCTTGCCAAATATCCTTCCTTAATCCATCCTGGCTGTGGCAGCATACTGCTCATACAAAAGCATGAGCACATCCAAGAATTACACACACAGACTACTCACCACGCATGTGGTCATGTGTTATTCCCAAGAGGGACTTTCTACCATCCTTTTGACATTACTGAGACTTGATGGAGGACTGAACTTGTAGTCCACTTCGCACTTTGAAACAGAATTTCTCTTGAGTTAAGCAAGCAGTGAAGTAGCCCAAATTAGGAGCTGATGCAGGCTGTAGCTCCCCTGTAAATCTTCCTGAGGACCACATATTGCCATGGGTTAACATCCACTATGTGTTAAACCCTATTATACATCTGCCTATGACCAGTTCTACAATTTAAGAAGATGGAAGTGACCACTGTGGTTCTCCTTTTGGATGAGCAGTACCTGCTGTCATGAGGAATGCAACCCCAGTGACTGAGAAGTGTTTGATTTTTGGTTGGTTTGGGTTTGGTTTTTTTTCAATAGACATGAAAAAGTGCCTGCCGTAACTGAGTCCTTCATTTTGCCAGGTCTGGTGTGATCTAAAAAAATAGCCCCTCAAGTGAGTATTACATTTAAGGACTTGGCAACAAATTGTCAAGAGGCAACTGCTTTCTAAATGCACGTTGGCTCGCGTGCAGGTTGATGTAAACAATATGTCCCACACCCCTAATACTCTGTAGGTGTGAGGGGAGTTTGCAGCCCCCAATCAAAAAGCTAGGAGTTCATTTGGAAACTGCCCAGCAGGGCTTTTTAGACGATATAATTTTCAGCTGTCCATGCATTCAACACGTGCAAACCATTTGCTGTGTGGAAATTCAGCTCTCACCGCTCCATTGATGCAGGGAACATCATCATAATGAAGTGCCATCCCCGTCGGACAGGCGTAGCCGTTGGCAGCGCTCCCCCGGTACGGGCTCGTAGACACAACTCGCCTGTTCATGAAACTGAACACAGCAAAATAAAAAGAAATAAATCTGGCACTTGAACCTAAGTCCTCGTGGTGATTCAGTGGTATGTTCCCTGTATCTGATTATACAGCCTGGAAGCACATGTCTTCTCACTTTCTGCAGGGCAGTCTTCCTTCTTTTGCTACTCGCATGTTGCTGCTAGCAGCCAGTATTACGACATATGTTCCCATTCCCCATTCTTACAGAAGGGGATACAACTGTGTGAAAGCCAGGAGGGTAACAGCTGTAATTGCTCAGTGGCATGTTTACATGGAACCTGCTGATCTATGTTGTACGCTGGCTTGCCAGTGTCCCCTAAAAGTTCCCTTGTTGTCTGCATCAGGGAGCAGCAGGTGTTTCTGGGTGCATGTCTGCTTGGGGGGATGCAAACCTAGGAATCTGGAGAAATGAGAATGACAACCAGCAAACTTTTGAAAAAAAAAAAGTGGAACTTGATAAAATCTAAGCTAACATATCCATGAAAATTTGCTGAACAATGAATTCCTGAAAATCAGGGAATTTTCCTTTTCCATATCAGGATTTCTGGCTGGGTAGAATGTGCACAACGGCATGATACTCCCCAATTCTGTCTGGGTAATTGGGCACGCAAATGCTCTTTTCCTGCTCTGTTTCACAGGGTGGGTCTGAGTCTTCTGGAAAATTCAAAAGGGATCGAGACATCCTTTTATTTGTTCTCCTCCCCCTCCCTGAAATCAACACTGTAGCTTGTTTTATTGTAGTCCCATAGAACATGTACAAGATACCATGGACTACAATGGGCTTGCAAAGACCTAACACTGCAGAAAATGGCAGAATCATGCCTAACAGCTATAATCACCCCAGACGTGAGCTTTGCTTTGTAGCAACGGCTGCAGTTGAATGAAAGCTTTGAATGAAACGGTGAGATGCCAAATAATTCCTATAGCTTCAGGTGTAAATGAATGGGAAAACAAAGCTTTCCATCCCAAACAATGGAACTATTCAGACTCTGTGCTGACATTCATAAAAATATGATAAAGCCCTACTATAGCAGAGAGGGTCTTCTGTACCACTGGCCAGGGCTCAAGAATGCTGTGGTTTCAACAGCTGGTTTCTTTTGTCTTTGGAATAAGATGGAGTCCATCGAATTTCTCATTCAGAGGGAGACAGATCTCATCCAACTGAGGCTCACCTGAGCCATGAGAGATTCAGGCTCACAGGAGGGACAGACCTGCCCAGTTTGGTGTGAACCTTTCAGAGCAGTGAGGGGGTGGAATAATGATTCGACAGAAGCTTTTCTTACTTCAAACAAACAAAAAAAAAATATAAATTCCATGATAAAAATGTTTTTAACTTTATCACATCTCACATTTTGTTAGACATTATTAAAGGACTTAATTTGTTTACTATTCCTCTTAATGAAAAGCATTACTCAAGTGTTTCTGGTTAGTCTGATGGACTGGATTTGGAGTTGTAACTGTATTTTCTTTCTATTGAAGTAGCTTCAATGAGAGTGATGCATAATAACCACATCTGAAAATTGAGATATTATTAATGACATCTGATGCACCTGTAATATGTCCACCATCAAAGGAAGCTAAGATTTATCTAAGTATCTGCAAACACTTCAGAAGCACTATTTCACTAAGCCTCATTAATCCTTTTTACAGATGCATCCATATGAGTTAATTGTATTCTGAAACTGCTAGATGGGAACTGGAGAAAATCTGCTTGGAAGCATCTTTTCTTCAGCTTTTCCTAGACACCTAATGATCTGGATAATGAAAATTGATGGGACTATTAATGAAGAGCCAATTGTTTTGCAAAGCATCAGTCTCAGGAAACAAATAACCAATAATCCTGAAGTGACTGTACAATAATAAAAGCTTTAATAATAACTAGAGATAATTCAGAAAACTGATATTCATTCTACAAAGAGCAACAATAGTATTTTATAAACACTTAAGTATCATTGTAATTTCTCCTCATTTTGTACGATAGGTTGAAAAATCAGCAGACAGCTACTCTAGTTGCTTATCAACAAGCTCTTAGAGTCTTCTAAAGACACAAAATGAATTTTAAATAATTTTTAATAGGGGAATTCTGCTATTTTGCAAGTTGTTTGATATTCCTTCCTAACATGTGGTTTACTTGCATATGTTTTTTTTTTCACTTGACTGCAATTAATATCACATTTATTCAGAAAAGGAAAGCCAGGAAGTAGTCACAGGGAAAAGGTTTCCATTCTAGTTCTTTCTTAAATGTGGTTATTGCTAGATGCTGAATGAAGAAAAAACACATGTCAACAGAGGACAAACTTCTTGAGTCCTACTAACTTCAAAACAAATATTAACATAAGTCTGTAGGCTAAGTGCATTTTGATTCTATCAAAATTATCTGGTTTTCACGAAATGGGGCTTGTGGTAACACTGAGTCACTTTGATTTGTATCAGAAGTCATTCAAACCAGATCCTGAATGATGCTGAAAATATTCCTGTGTTAAAGCTCTTTTAACATCTCACTAATGGCAGGAGAATCTCTTGGAAAACTCTGAAGCTTTTGCCTTTCTTTTTTTTTTTTCATTTTCAGTCTGTTTAAAGTTATGGTGGGCAGATGGGATGTGGTTCTCTAACATATTAAGTCACTCAAATTCCAAATTTGTGTGTGGAATCTCACTTTGCAGCAAGATGAGGGATGACACCTTGGCCAGCTGTCTTCTCAGGTCTCAGGCCACCAGCTTTCTGACAATGGGAAGCCACAGGGAACGTCTGCAGCAGGGCATCTTGCCTGTCACAGCCGCTCCTTCACTCCTATTTCTAGACAACCTCATCTAGCCAAGGAAAAATGACAGTCTTTTCCCACCAAAGACTGCTTGAATGCCTAAACTGATTTGAACATATAAATCACTATATATGCTAAGTATGCATTACTTTTCTTAGCACAGGATCAGTAATGGGGAATCCACTGTACTGATTTGCAATTTAAGGTTTCCATGCTGCACTTTAACACCTTCCCCATTTCCACCTTCTAAATTAAAACCTTAAAATTAATTGGTGTGAGCTTGGTGAAGTTTTTAATTAATCATAAAGAACTTGAGAGGGAAGCATAGAATTTGATTCTCCAGGACTTAAATCTGCTATACATTTTTAGTGTGCAGCACATCTTGGCCAATATAAGCTGTACATATGGGCTATATGTACCTGTAAATATAGCCAATAGATAAACATGAACTATGCAGCTGCGTGTTTCAGCATATTTGTCCTCTTCCAGGGATACTTCTCAGTCTTCAGGCAAAATGAAAAATATAAAATTTGATAAGGAGATTTACTGAAAAAAAAAGAGTAAAAAACTGAGCACAGTTGGATAGTGTCTGCATCTTTTAGAGAACTTAGCAGGGTGCCAACACGATAATCATAAACATTTCTAACATGCTGCAATGCTGAAACACTTCAGGAGTAAAATATCTGGCAAGGGGGAGGTGGATTTTGGTAAGCTGGCTTGGCACCTGAGGTACCAGAGGGACATAAATTCTGAGAGTACTGGGAACAGCCGGGCAGCTGAAGGGCTCTCACCAGAAGGTCTGCTTTGCAGCCTGGATGACGCTCGCCGTCATTTCCACGTCGATGTAGTCATAGTGCAGAGCGCCAGGGTCTGTCGAGGAGCCCGTTTCTGCCAGCAGAATTCCTATCCACCTGCCCATGTCTTCGGAGGAGGAGGCCTGTAAGGAGAGGGCAAGAACGTAGGTCAGGTCTTTGCTCTGCCACTGAGCTGAGCGTTATTGCAAAACATTCTTCTTGGCTGCCAAACTGCTCCCGCATTGTATGAGAGGCTCTGGCTTCACTCTGCTGAACGCCTGCAAACCCAAGGATTCCTTATTAAATCTGCTCTGCTAGAAGGAGTGCACTTTAAGTAAACTATGTGCTCATCAGTTATGATGTAATACAAAATGGGCAATCTCCAAAAACAGAAGAAAAAATAATCATTTAAGGCTAGTGGATTTAGATTCAAGTCATGCTTATTTTAGCCTTCAGAAAATTGAAAGCTCTAAGAGAAATATTTTCCTATGCTAGGCTGGGGGATTTTAGTTAGTGTGATTCCTGAGGAGAAAATGTTAGTGCTAAGTAGAAATGAGGTGGGCATTGGGAATGAAATAGCAAAGAGATTTTAATGTAGTTTTTTGTTTTTTTTTTTTAAATTCCACTAAATTTGTCTAGATGATGGCATTCATTTTCCTAATGGTGCAAGTACAAACATGAATACTATTAAAATAATATTTAATTTTTCTTATTTTGCTTCAAGTCATCAACTGCAAAGTTAAACAGTAGCAAAATAAATAAAGGCAACAAAGGATGGAAAAGGAAACTGTGGTTTCTTAATTTCTTGTTCTTTTTCAATATTTCATCGCCTCTCACAGTTCCTTGGGCTGCTTTCTAGTTTCTCAGATTCTCTGAACTGCTCACATGTGACAGGCCTATTTGCAAGGACAGGAGGCTATTGTGACCTGCACAGAAACCCACAGTGGTCACAGTGTCCATCCTGCCACTTGAAAGCAAAAGGTTGCCTCTTCCTTTACCTTCATTATACTTGGCTTCAAGCATCTTCTCATTTCAGCTTCCAAGTATGATGAATAAAGCCTCTCAAAAGATCCTCGCCCACCTAACACAGATTAAGGTATGACCTACAAAGCGTGGTGGGTCAAGAGACCCACCAGGTTGCTGGCAGACCGTTTTCTTACAGCAGCTTTACCTTAATAGGGATAGACTGAGCACAAGGAGTTCACGTGAGTAGCAGACAAACGAGTTAAGAGCTCTAGAGTTCCCATCAACAGTTAACCATGATTTAATTATTGCTAAGTTATTTACCCAAAGAAATTATATCCCTGATGTAAAAGTGTGCCTAGAGAAGGAGCAGGGAAATTTCAGTAGCAGGTCAAGGGAAGGTCAGCGTAGAGAGAAGCATCTTACCGAGAAAATTTCTGAACTGCATTAAATCTCAGTTTTTTCTTTGTCTACAACTCTTAATATTTCTTTTCTCCTTCCAGTATTTATTATCCAGCTCTGCAATAATATTATTCCAAAGACTTTTTTATTTTTTTTTTGAATGGCCAGGTTGTATGAAAGTGCTTTTCTAATTTAGCTCATGGGTGTTCCTGCAAGTCACAGCCATTAGCAAGCACCGCACCTCGAGCACAGCGACCTCCTGCCCGTTGCGGAGCAGGCGGAAGGTCAGAGGGTGCTTCGAATCCAGTCCCAGGATGACTTCACAGCCACGGAGAGGGATAGAAACAATGTGTGTCTTCAGATCCGTCCTGTCCTTGTGGAAAATGAGTTTATTATCTTTCACTCTGCACCAGCGCTCACGCCAGCGGTTATTTGAGAGCACGTTGAGATATCCTGCAATAAAATGAAATGTGAGATATTTTACTCCTGGCTTTTTTTTGAACAGAGCAAAAAAAAAAAACCTCTTGCTTTTCAATGTAATGCTATCACTTAAAAAAATTATTCCTCTTATAATAGAAAGTCCAGATGGATTTTAGGAAGACAAGTAAATGACCCTGCACCACTTTTTTAAATGAAAACGTTCACTGTGCCAATAACCCAGAAAGAAGCATGTAAGGCCGTGATCCTGCCTCTCTGTAAATGGCTGTCCTCTCAGTCACTGCAGCAGCTGGATGAGCAGGAGCACGCCGATCCCAAAGACTTTAGTGAGAATGGGAAAGGGACAGTGACAAAAAAGCATGTACACAGTCCATGTGCTCACACACAAGACCCACCTTCTCCACGTGTAATGGCTTTGGTAACTTGACTAACCAAAATTTTCTGGGAAAATCACAGCTCATATTATATAATTAGGTGATAAGCTACCTCTGTAACCTCCAGTAACACCACTGTAACAGTGTTTTAAAGACCTGCTAGAGCATTGATGTTATATGTTCTTATTCCATTTAGAAAGAAGAATGCATGTTTGGTTTACAACACTTTTAAAGCAGAATTTAAAAGACTGATGCAAATAAAAATAAAATTCATATTGGTTTAAAATTCAAGAAGTAAAAGGATATGAAATTTAGCAAACCTTTAAGGCAAAGGTTTAATTTTTATTTTTTTTTATCAGAACTTCATTAACAAACTGCCTTTTAAAAAAATCTCACTTTTCTTATCATACTTTACATTGGATACAGTGCTTAGGCATATGATATCTTGAAATGGGCAGTGTTTTGTGTCTTTCCTTTTCTGTACCATAGCAACAATCATTCTAGATTCAAACCTTAAAGTCAAGACAATGCCCAGTTTTCTTGCCTTAGTTTGAAGGGGAAAATAAGAATCTTTTACTTTGGCTTCCACATGATGAACAGTACATGAATTCAGCATGTTGCTGCTTCCAAACAGGCAATGAGGAGGGAGGGAAACAAATGATATCTTGTGCAGGCCAGAATCTATCTTAAAAAAATTGTCTTCTATGTCAGATCTGATTTTCATTTAATCCTGTTGGATAGCTATCTCTTTGGTTTTCATTAAAACTATGACTTATCATTAATTTTTCTGGGTTTCCCTTCCAACGCTACGGTTCCAACGTCAAAGCTTGATCCAACAGGATATAGCAGATCAGAACTGTGCTCGTCTTGGAAGGTGTCATGAAAAAACAGAGGATGTGCATAACCCTGATTTTGGCTCTTTGTGAGGATTACACTCTCCAGGTCTTCTCTCTCCCCCTGTAACAAAGCCCCATAGAGATCTGCATTACACTATAATCCCTAGAAATGAAAAACTGTTCACGTGCAAGCCAGCTGGCTTGTTTTGGAGTGAGAGTTCTTTTTTTCAGACAGTACTTGCTTTTTAACCTCTGCTCCAAATGCACCTCTCAGAAAAGCTCTTCCAAACCCTCCTACTTTGGTTGAATTAAGCAGGATCCCATTCTTTTCCTGCTGCACAACCTTTTCCTGCTGCACAACCCTACTTAAACCTTTAACAGCTGACATGACCAAAATGCCTGGAGTGTGTTCCCAGTTTGGGCATTAGCACTTCATCTCAGTCGAGGTGATCAAAAACCAGTGATGCCGTAGGGAAGAGCTCTGCTTTGACTCCATGTGGGGGTGGGTTTCAGTTTCCACTCTAGCTGGGTGTCCCCTGCAGCCCCCCAGGGCTTTTCCCCTTCTTCATGGGAGGTAGAACCTTCGAAAGTGTAAAAGCCTTTGACTATGGAGCAGCCTCTCAGAGGACCCTGAACTGAGCCAAATTTCTTGTGGTGAGAAACTCCTTCTGCAAAGACTTCCTGCAATGACCAAAGCCTAGACACATATATTTTCCTATAAAATCTGGAAGTGGTGTTGAATAGAGCCAAATGCAGGCAATAGTAACGGCTATATTTATGTCCCTATCCGAATTAATGATAAAAATACCAGGAACTAGATTGTACAGCTGTGGTTAGCATCTCACATAATACACAATAGTCAAGGGCGTATGAGACCCCGGAAGTTTGGGCTTTTATGGAAGCCAGATGCTTCAGTCTATGCATCTGGCTGGACACAGCTTTTCCCAGCTTTGGTCCTTTGGTTGACAAATCACATCTGTACTTCGCTGATGTATAGGCATACATACACACACTTAATTAATCAAAGATTGCTTATGTGAATGATTCCCAAAGTGTGGCTTGAGAGCCACCTGTGATCTATGAAGTTCTTGCTGGTGGTCCATGGATCTGCTGCTTTGACATTGGGCAAGCAGCTATCACACTTCACGGACCAATGAGTTCTGCCAACTGCTGCCTAATCACAGATTTCTGGGTTTCTCTAAAGTTTTCCCAGGCAATTAAAGGGGAAGAGGCAAATTCAAATTCAGAATCTGTGGTGCAACTGCTTCACAGCTTAGTTTCTAAGGAATTTTTTTTTTTTTTTGAGAGGGGATTGGCAGAAGGGTGGGTTCAACCTTATTCACTTATGCAAGTGTTACTTAAGACTGGAGCATGAAAAGGCAAACAGAACAATGTAAATACATTGCAGTGTTTGAAAATACCAGAGCTGTGAGGACTTCAGCTAAGTGTATTGCACCATCTTAAACTGTGAGTAAAAATTAATAGCTAAAATGTAAAACATAAGCATTGTCTGTATGCCTTTTTATATTCTTCCTTGATGCTGCCAAGCACTGCAGTTACCATGTGGAGTGATCAACATTAGGAGTTAAAACAGCCTACTAGAAATTTGTTACTTTGTCAAATTTTGCCCAATATGTACCACTTTAGGAACCCTCCATTAAACTCAAATCACTTTGGCTGAGGCCATTTGACTCCTGTCTTGATAGCTGTCCCACAAAACCTCACCACAATCCATCATAAAAACTTGATTCCTTCTCAAGAACCTTCTAATTCTAAGCCTAAATTTATTTCATAGTCCAGCCTATACTGATTTTATATAAATTTGTTTGAAAACGGATGGTTTCTTTCTGTTTTTTGTCCACACTTCTCTTCCCCCCATCTGCAAAAAGCAATGAAATTCCTTTAGAGCCAGTACTACCATTTTATGTAAAAAGTCAAGTTCTTTTAGTCTCTTTTCAAACGATAAGCTCTTTATTACTCTACTCCTCTTTCAGCCTGAGTGAACCCTTCTGATATACTGGGAAGAATTATAGCAGTAAAAGCAATTGTAGAGGAATTTCTTGGCTAAAATTTTATGAAGTTTTAGTCACAATGTGCATTTTAAAACTCAAGGAGAAAAATCACTTACCACATGTTGGAACATCTTCTTCAGCTGATGAGGTCTGTTCATCTGTTGATGGCTTTTTCTTTCCTAAACCAATGATCTTCGTTATTTTTTTCCCTGTTACCTTAGTCACAGTGCCCTTGGCTTCTGATTTTGCACTTTTTTTCCTCTTCACTATTAAGAAAGCAAAAGTGTGCATTTTAGTGTGCTTAAATTAACCAATGAAAAGAGAGCATCTGAATAAAAGTAGTAGCTCAGACTATGCTGTGTAAGATGAACATTTGTACAAAAGTTGCAGACTGCAATGAGGTAAACATTACATGCCCTCTCTAATGCAGATACCTATAAATAACCTCTGTGCTATAAAAATCATGGTGATCAGAGGGATAAGAAAAATAAAAATCAAGCTTCTAATTTAATTTAATCCAATCAAGCTGAAAGTCTCTTTCCACATCATCTAATTTATCAGCATGACTGAAGTACCTGCATATAAATTCAGCTCATATATATAAAAATAAAAATCCTGCCAGACAACCCTTCATTGTTCCTAAACATTAAACTCAAAATACTTCAACAATTAAGTACACAGCAAAGACAGAATATGCTTGCCTAGCAAAAATACTTCTGCCATGTACAATTAGGTTAAGGTACCTTATCACAGTGGACCCTTTAGAAAGATAAGGCTTCTAAATTAACTACTAACAATTAAATTAGCAGGATCAGTATAAGCATTCAATGGTTAGAAGCTGGCACTTTTTGTGATCATAAGGCTTGGAAGGAAAAGGCTCTGCTGAAAAGAGGTATTTTGCTAACATCCAGTATATGTTTCCATTAACTTAATGTGATGCTAGGAATACTACGACTGTGTACATAACATGGCAGAGTAAGGATATCACTTTTAAGAGTGCCTACCTGACTAAAAACCTAAAAGTTTTTTTAAAAAGCTTCTAAGATTGAATAGAATTATAAAAAAGAACTTTTTTTTTTTTCCAAAACAGAAGAAATAAATTAAATTTACAGAAATTGCATTCAGTGGCCTAAGTTTGATTCCATCAATGGAGAAAGTCTCCAAAATTCAGCAAAAATGTCCATCAACTTGCCCTAATAAGTGCTGTAACTTTCCCTGACATACCAATTTGAATCCTTTGCTACAGGGAACATTTAGTGGTTACAGACTTGTGTAAAATGAGGAAAAAAAGGACAGAATGTTCACATGAAAAACTGAAGTGTACGAATTGATGAACTGGGAAGAAGAATGCATAGAAAATAGAGAAGCAGTTTGGGACTCACAATGGGAGAATTTATCATATTTAGTTTAATTGTTAGAAATCACAGAAAATAATTTAGAAATTGTATCTGTAGCCAAGGCTGTACTAATCTGTCACCTGCTGCATGTGGTGCTGAGGGGGAAAGGCAGATTGTCAGGGGCCGATAGCTGCTCACCAATACAGCAACATGCAGGTGCAAACAACACTTTAATTCTCTACTCTTAAGTGAAGAGTGTTCACAACTTATATTGTCATGACATCTGCTCATGTCACCCAAAGCTGGCACCTGCTCACAAACAGGTTCCCATCTCACACAGTGGCCGCCAATGACTGGCTGTGGCTGTTGAGTGGGCAGATGAAAAGCATGGAAAAAAGCCAGAAACAGAAAAAAATCATCTCTCTGAGACAGAAACCCAAAGGAATCACTCTCATGGGCATAAACAGGAAGTGGAATAAGACCATGTCAGTTGTTTTTTTTTTTTTTTTTGGTTTTTTTTGTTGTTGTTGTTGTTGTTGTTGTTGTTGTTTTTCTGTCCTATCTTTCCTTCATCCTGCTGTTTTACTCTCCTGCAGAACTGAATGGCAGCAGAAATTAAGGCCTTCATGACTTAATCTTTTTGAGTCTAGAGAATATACTGGTGCCCAGCTGCCAGTGATTTTCTTCACAAAAGCCTTTTCATTTCCTTCTCAAAAGCAAAACAAGGAGCTGGTTAAGAGCAGAGCAGAGGCTGGCCAGTAGGACAGCTGAAGATGACCACTCTCTGGAGTCTCCCTTCTCACGTACTCCCTTAAGCATTTCCTATCCATTGTCTAAAAGATAGTGTAACTTCATCCAGAACCCCTTAAAATGATGCCAGGGATATTTTCGTCTCCTTGCAGTCATTAACGCCTGTTATTTTTCTTACTGCATATTGAAGGTCAGAGATATTCTCAGCAGCTTTCAGAGACTAAAACAGTTCCTTGCTTTTCAAAAGCTCAGTAGATTTTACAGGGTTAAAACCAACCATGTACTGCAGCTTCTAGAAGCCAGAAAACCTGACGCTGCTCCATACTGTTGCATACGTCAAGAGATCCCTATAGTCAGGAAATGCTGGAAAACGACCCAGGGAGAAGATAAAGGAAATGAGTCAAAAGGCGAGACGGTGCTGGCACCAAGGCCAGTATTGACAGGGGCTCGCTGCAGCTCGCGTTACCCTGCATCTCACAGCTGCTGAAAATGTCAAACCTGAAGGACACCATTGCTGTATCGCAAGTTAACGAACTCACAGCACCTCTTCCTCTTCGGGGAGGAGGGAAGGGGATGGAGAAGAGTGTAGAGATTGAGTGCTTTACATATAACTCAGCCAAAATTCCCTCTGGGCCTGCGATTTGCTTTTGTTAGATTACAAGGACTATAAAAGAGGCATGGCTCCAAAGCAGCATATGTAAAATTATGTACTTGTATACTCACAAACCCACTGACATTACATACTTATATACATTTTAGTATGTTAATCTAAATAATCATGCATAATAGTTTATATATATGTATCTGTGTATACACACATGTATAAACTCTGTATGTGCATATATATATATATAAAATATATGATTCTTTCCTTTTAGTTTTCAATGATAACTTGTTTGCTTAGAAGCTATACACCTACTATTTATGTTGCCACTATACAGTTACAGTTACTAAAAGAAACTACTAGTTGCCTATAGAGGCTGCCTAAACTCTGAAAAACTGTATTTTTAAACACAAGAAAGGCCACATAAAATTTTCTATATTCTGTTTCTTTATGCTAATTATACTGATTTTACCTGCACAATGTCAAACATTTTCTGTTACTGCAAAATTTTAAGGATTCACTCTTGACATAATTCAGCTTTCAAGTTAAATTGAATCCTAATAAAAATATTAAAAAAAAAACAACTTTACTGCCTATTTTTAAAAGACAAAAGCCAAGCCTTTCACTGACTATCATTCCCTACATGCACATATTATTTACACCAGCCATGTCTGGATCTGAGACATACCTTGTTCTTTCCCATTGCACACGGTAGTGATGCCATTTTCCACAGCACCCTCCCCATCAGAGCTTGGCCTCTCAAATGACAACTTCTGCAGGGGCAAAGAGATTAGCTGAGATACAGTGTTGGCACCTTGACTAAAAAAAAGTGTCATAAGTAAATTTAAATATATTTACTATGAAGAAAACCACACATTTCAAGCTCTCATCCACTGGTTAGTAAAAAACTCAGAAGCTTTAGAGAAACACAGAAACTACAAAGTGTAGTCAAAACAGTGAAGTAATCATAGTTAATACCTCTTATTACACAATATATTTTTAATTAATTTCCAGACTCTAAATGTTGCTGCTTATTAATCTGCTAAGCAATGCAATTACATGCACCAGATAAGAATAATTTTTAAATTATTTCTTTAAATAATTCCTCATATACACAATTACAACAACTTCTCAGAAAACAGCCCATTTCTAAAGGTGCTTCAATACTTCCAATGTATGCAAAAAAAGAGGCTTTTGAAATACATTTTTACACTGATTATTCCATAATGATTGTGTATGAGATAGGAGATGAAGCAGTATAGCGCTTATAGCAGCACAGGTTTTATAGCAGCATGTTACTCCTAAGTGGTGAAGCCATGAAGAAGATGTATGGATTACCACAAAAAGAAATGAATGAGAACTTTTGCTGCACTTTTTCACGTCACGCATTTTAGAAAATCACTGTTTTATGACAATTTCAGTTACTTCACTAATACTGTGCAGGTGTGTGCCAGTATGCAAACACAATAGCTTTGACCTGGTGAAATCAGGAGGTCTGAGCTGTCCTGGAACACGTTTTGCTCTTATTTCCCAGGTGCAAAGCAATAGAACAATACTGACAGTGGCATCTTTCCACCATAAGTGCAGAACTTGCCCTCAGGCAGCTGGTGACAAAACCTTTGTCAGTGGGAGTTTTAAGCAGGGCCTGCAGAAGGGTCTGCTCACACAAATGCCTTAACAGAGCAGGGGCTTAAGTTTTTGTGGGCAACGTACTGATCATTCACTGCAGATTTGCTCTTTCCTAGCTCTCATATCCTGCTGAGTCAAGGCAGCAGAGACAACCACATGTGAACAGCCAAGCTTCTGTACTGAGGCACAAATGCCTGAAAGGGTCTGCGCCAAAACTGTGACCTCGGTATGCCCAGGCAGCTCTTCAAGAATTAAATTCTCCAACATAAAATACTTTCCCTTAAAACTTTTCTATAATCTTCAGTTGTTCTTCCCTGAGAGTCACATCCCTGCTTGCTCTTCACACTTGATGGGGACTGCTTCTGCATTGCAGCACATTTATCAGACCTGCTTGGTCTGCACCCTTCTAAATGGCTAAAGAGAATCTTCTAATGGCTATGAGCCAGCTTGCTGGGTGTTTGTGGCCAAATGAATAGACATGGCAGAAGTCCTGACTCCATAGGATGTGTGCACATATCCAAACACTAACAACACAAGGACTAATAGCCTCAAACAGTAGCACAAGTCAGCAACTATTTACATCCAGTGTCTTGCAGTGCCTCTTCAACAAGTAATCATAAAGGAATTTTACATTCATCATTTTGAAACTACCTTTTCCAGCTCTGTCTTGTGTACTGGAGAACTAGACAATGGCCCATCGGAGTCCACAGCTCCCGTACAGTTGCTGCACACATCTTTTATAACCTTAGGACACAAGGTAAAATTTATTAAATATTCGTCAAATATAAATCAGAGAAAGTATATATGAATGTGAAGGGAGAAGGGAAGGAGAAACACCTAGATATTCATTAGGCTGGCAGGTGTCAGGCAGGCTGCCACTACACCAACTTCTCCACACTGTCTCCCTAAGTGATTTCACGTATGACCTGGAGGAGACATGATGTCTAGAGGTGGAAGGTTTCAGTTTCTAGACAAGCTAAGCTCCAGGGCTCTCCTGAGTAAAAATCCAACAGCGCTGCTGATTTTCATGTGCTAGTTTTGCAATATGAACTCAGCTGACACCACCAAATTAATTTCATTACAATGACGAAAAAGTGGGATTCAATCCAAGGTCCCCCAAGTCAAAGGACAAGAGTTTTGCATAACACACTATCCAGCTGCTCTTCTTTTTTTGCTATTGGAAAACTAATGAAGTGCTGATCAACTTACAGTTAATACTACACAGTAGTGTTTTGTGGCATTTTTGTATTATGCTTGCACATTGACATAAAGGTGTAGGTCAAAGTAATTGTAAATGTGCTTGTAGGAAATGGGAATGGCATTGTCTGCTCTAAAATAGTTGAAGAAAAATCCAGAACCTGGAAATCACTGAGATTTTGACAGATTTTAAAGAATGTAAAACCTGAGACTATATAAATGAAATATATGTGATAAGTAAGGACGCATGATGACTCCCCATGGACATAATTAATTTTTTTATCTCTCATGAGTTTACCACCAGCCCATTATCAGTCTGAAATTGCTTGTGCTGATGAGAACAGCTCCCGACTCTCCATACAGACTCATGCTGAGGGGCTGCTGAGCTCTACACTACTGATTACAGCCACTCAAGGACGGTAGAGCCAAGCAAGCTAAGAAAGAAAGGCATCCTACTCTGCCACAAGCAGTACTGCTAGACATGAAAACTCTCCCCTTTTAGATGTGCATGTACATGTTTACATATCCAGCTCTTCCCTTTACACTGTTTACAGCAAGCTTGGCTGGCAGGGAGGAGGACCTGGTGTGAGAACTCCTAGTTCCAGAGAAAACAACAATTACCTAATTGTAAAAATCCAGATTTCTTTCAAGGAGTGGAAAAGCAAAACAACAAACAGTATCTTTTTAGTTTTGAACTGAACAATTTTGCTGTGGAAACTATTAAAGAGCTAAAGACGGCACCAAACAGTCCTTTCACAGCATTGAAGTTCCCTTTAAGGGTGAAGCTAAACAAATCCAATGTTTATGGGCTTACAAAGACCCTACTGTTACGAGTCATGAGCACATCATAAATTACGGGCATTATATGCCATAAAGAAAGAAATAGCACCAGCCCCATTTTACAGATGGAGAACTCAGGAACAAAATAAAGACTTAAATCACTCACTCAATGTCATATAAAAAAAAACCCTAAGCCAAGCAGGGAAATGAATTTATGCTACTATTTTAAAACACTTCAGTATCCCTTTTTGACTGTCTGAACTTCCCTATATCTTGTCCCAGAGAGACAAGCATAGTATCCCATGGCACTTGGTGACCTTTGTAACAGAAAACTTAGATATATCTGTTTCAGAGCATTTGCACCTCAGAGTTAAATGTAGCCCTAAATTCCCAAAAAGTGTAAGAATTATTTTATGTGTGTTGTTTTGTTTTCAATTGCTGGTCGCCAGTATGGTGTAAATACACAGCTGTTTTCTTCCTAGAGAAAGCCTTACAGTTTCTGGGAACATTCATTTCTGTCTCCTGCATGACCCTGATTCAATGGCTCATGTTTTCAGCATCTGCTCACACCACACAGTTAGTTAATTTTGGCAAAGGCAGATAGTAATGGGAGTTACAGACAGAACAGAGGGAAATGATTTGGCAGCACTAACTGAATAGTATGTGCAATGTCATGCACTCAAGTAAATCCGGTTCTTATCATACCTCCTCATATTTAAGGATAAGTTTAAGTGTTTAATTGGGTTCTAATTAAATTTTTATTTAAAAAATTACATACTATTAAGTGGAATTTTGTGGCAAAATCTGAAGTAAATGCATATTCAAGGTTTCAGCACTTCATTTGGGTTCAAGAGGTTCACTGGCAAAGACTTGCTCATCACCTTCAATGTGCAATATAAATGTATTTGATGCACAGCATAAAACTCATACTTCAGCTCACCAGGATGAAATGCCTTTAATATATAATGGTTGCCTGGATGCACTCTCTATAATTACGTTTGCAGACAGCTGCCATTATAAATGTGGTTTTCACATGCTTATAGCTTTAAGTCCAAATCTTAAGGATAAAACATTCCATCAGTGTTGCCAGCTTGCATAATTTCAATCACAAGACTCAAAGTTCTTGTCAATTTTCTCTAAGTTCCATCTCCTGGAGTCATATGAAAACAAAAGATCACTATTTTCATTAAAAAAGAGCTGTAAGTGAGAGTGGGGAAAGGAGGTCAGCGTTTTATCCATCGCAATGAAATGTGCGAAAATATAAATAAATGTATCTCAGTGGTTCCAAAACTAGAAATCAAATAAAAGGAACCCCCATATATGTTATTTTTAATAAAATGGCATAATCTGGAAGGGTGTACTGAGAATACTTTATAGTGGTGCATACTCCATTCACAGTTTAAATTTTCTCACAGATTAGAAACGGTAAAGTATTCTCTTTCTCTCACCACAAATGTCTCTGTACTCTACATATACACACATGGAGGGTGATTTGCTATAAAAATCAAACTGACATCATCAACAGATTATGTATTCAAATATTTAAAATATATGAGCAAATGTAAACAGCAAACTGAAGAATTTTAGTTTCTTTGGATAGCCTTAAAACTAAATAGATTTAAAAGAATCTTCTGCTATTCCATTGCAAGGATTTTAAATACCATAATTACTGTTAGAATGTTACAATTAGCAGGCTCAGAACTGCCTCTTTCCAACGCAGGCCTGGAAAAGGCTTGTGCAATCTGAACTATATTATTATTCCTTATGTATGCTGTAGAAAGGTCTTGAATCCCCAGATGGATCAGGATACACACCAGTGTGTCACACTGAGTCCAGTGACATGAGGAATAGAAGGGAAATATTTGCAGGTAGTAAAGCTGGAAAGATTCCCTGCCCCAAACCATTGACAATGATGGGTGAAGTCAGTGGAACTTCTGACACATGGTGTGTCTGGAATATTTATCTCTTTAACTATCTTACTACACAAGCACTAACATTTACTATAAAACCCTCATACCTGCACTCACCTACAAATGTCTATAATTCTTGTATCATTTTAAATTACACACCATGACCAGAGGCAAAATACTTACCCTATATTTACTCTTTCTATATGCAAAGTCAGAAGAATCGAATTAGATTCTTCCAGTTACCTTCAAAGATCCAGGCTTCAGATAAAAACCATGGGCTATGCAGTAAAGCCAGAAGGCTGGCTGCTTGCCAGCCAGATCCTGCCACACAGAAACCCAACAAATCCTGAGTAAAAGTACTACATTTGTAGATGGTTCCTTGTGGCTGATGTCTTCAGGACCTGCTAAGAAATAAGACTGAAAGTCATCCTGTGTTTGAGGAGCTTGCAGACCTCTCTCCTGGTAGATACTATGGGACGAGTCCAGGAATAGTATTATGGCATCTTGTCTTATCTCCTGTTTTCATGAAACTCACAAGAGACACTCACACTTTTAATAGGATTGAGTTCAAAAGTGATTAAGGAGAAAGCCGATGGCCTGACTGCACATTACTTCACTTCCATACGTAACCAGGGCAAAATTCCATCCAGCAAACCCACCCCCTCGCCCCCATCTATTCACGTGTTTTGCAAATACAGGAATTGCTACAAATGAATGGGATGGGCTGTACACCCTGTCTCTGCTGCTTCACTGAAGATAGGAATATGGTAAAGCTGACATCTGCTCATGCACAACAGAGCAGAGGGAAAAGGGGTTGGCTCCGGACTTAACTCAGTATTTCTCATTCCTGAAACATTCCTTTTTCAGTGCTGGAGGAGAACTGACTTTCTGTGACGCTTTGTCATTTTGGCACGACTAATTTCTCATTCTTTCTGTCTTTTGGACCCTTACACATGACATACATTAATGTCAAGCTCTTCCTTCAGAGCACACCAAAAATGTCTTAATTTGCAGAAAAGAAATACCCCAAGGAGAAGCCCTGGATAAACTCGAGAAAAAGCAGAAATTACTACATCATAACCTACACTTTAAGTCTCAAAAAGAAACCCCCTTTACCTTCTGTCCTGGAAAAGATCATTCTGAAGCATCCCCTAGCCTGAAAAGGTTCTTTTTTCTCCTTTATTGCCATTTGTCTGGGGAAAGTGGGGATGAAATTCTAGCAGACAGCAAGCCTATCTTTAGTGCTTGTATATCCCCTTAAAAATACTTTTCTGATGTATTCAACCAAGACAAGCCCTGTATCATTTCTCTGGCCTTATTACCACGAAGTCTATTGCCATATATGGCCCCTGGATCAGGCAGAGCCCAGGGAAGGAAACATTGTGTGGCTGGGGAGGGCGGCTGGAGGAACTGCTGCTGCAAGGGCAGAGGCACCCTGCACAAGGGGAGCTGCATCCCCAGCCCAGGCAGTGCAGACATGGAGACCACATTTTAGTCCATAAATCTGAACTAGGTGTGATTTAAATTATTTTGCATCCAAAGCTGCAAGTAGGGGAAAGGAGGACTATTATACAGGGGTGAAAGCAGGAGACCTCCTGGGTTCTGCTCTTGAGGTTTGCTACACCTTATATTTGTGATTTTAGGCAGGAACCTAAAGATAACTTATCCCTGAGAAAACAAGCAAATAAGAAATGTTAGGTTCTGTATTAATTGATATTTAGGTTTTTTTTTAAATGTATATAAGCATCTGCTTTTTAAAGTAATGTACTGTTTTCCACAGTGCGAGTAACACGCATGCACACACACACTGGTTCACAGCCAAGCTGGGGTCCTCTGGCTCTGTCAAAGCAGTTCTGAAAGCTGGTCAAAGCTCTCACACACAGTTTGGTACACCATGTCTCCAAGTTAGGCCCTAAACAGCTCTTACACAAACATACTAACCTTGCTGTGATTCAAATCGATGCATCTAAAACCATCTTGTTGAGACAACAGGGGTGTAAGTCTTCGGAGGCTTAATTAATTTTGTGAAGCTTTCACTGATGATGTGAAGTAGAGAAAGAACCCAGCCTGACTGTCTTGGGACACAGTACGTTCCTGGAGTTACTTATACACTAACAAACACTACGTGGAAATCACTTGTACTGAGTGTGCATCCTCAAACACAGTTTTTCTAGTCAATTTTAACGCATGATTATTCAGCACTTGACGCTACTCAGCTACAAAATGGAGATAATAACCTCTTTGGGGAACATTATGTAAGCCAAGAAAGTAATGCTTGAAGTGTTTTGAGATCTCTAGCTGCAAATTCCCATAGAAAGTAAAACCAGTCACACAATGTTTACAGTTACAAGCTCAGTTTTGTGCTTATTTAAACTGGTAAAAGAAGAGCTCTGTCAGTAGTTTATTCTTCAGCAGAACTCAGTCCATGTTAAGACTGGAGCCCAGAAGTTACTTGACTCCCCTCAATAAGCTCAGAGCATTGAAATAAAAGAAAAAAAACCCAAAACAATGTTTTCAAAGACTTCTGCAAGAGATGACATGCAGTTATCTGAGGTGTAAACTAGGTAGGACAACGAGATTAAGAGCCCTATGAAGAGTGTTGCAGGGTCTCTGGATACTTGATTTTTTTCTCTCTTCAGGGCAAAAAATCCCTCATTACAACAAGTTCAGAACTGACTGAACATTGTCAAAATGATAGATGCAGAAATGTCTACTTATGCCTGAAAGATTCACTGCTCAATTACGGACTCTCAACTGAAGAGATTGCTGCAAAATGGCTGCACAGCGTAAATGAAAGGAAGTTAATAAAAGGTGCCTGACGTTAGGGACAAATGAAAATTAAGCTAGTATTCCAAAATGATAGATTACCTCTCGTGCATGAAAAACAAGCAGCACACTTTTGCAGGAGGCAATGCTAAGAGTAAGAGGAGGCCTTGGGACCAGACACCATGACCATCCCGTCCTTCTGCAACAAGCTGTTTCAGAACTTAATTTCTTTGGCTTCCATGTATTTTTAATATTAAGAGCAGTTTTCTGTGGCCTAGTCTGAAGGTCCTGCACAGAGGACACATTCATCTTATGAGTGCCGTCACTGAACAAGCATCTTCTTGTAATGTCATGTTCTTAGTAGTCCTTTTATTTTTAATGTAGCATTTCCCAGGGATGCCGACAAGTCAGCCGGTATAGTTTCACCAGTCTGTTGGATGTGCTGAGACAAATGGGTGGATTTAAGACCTTACTTGACCACAAATGCACAAAAGCACACACAGATGCACATATATTCAAGTGCACATGGAAAAAGCTCGTTTTTGGGTCAGAGCGTGTAACTGCACACATTTTTTCATGTACATTTTTGTGGGAACATTTTAGGACTCAGTCTGGAAAATTCCACGACTTTATGTTGCCCACCATATTACTGCTATGATCTCAGCACTAGACTGAATTTATACTGGTTAGGCTCCTTGCTCTGAGATCTTGACAGGCTCTTTGGTGACATCAGCTATCTTTTTTTCATCAAGCATTTGTTAGCTGGTAAAACTGAAACTCCCTTTGTGGTTTTCAGTCTAGACTTCAATTTGCACTAGGTTTATCAGCTGGGGTTTTTTGGTGTCATCTTTACAAAAAAGGTCTAAAATATCCTCCATTTATTTTGCATTTGTCTTCCAATAGGTATTTTAAAATTATTTGCTTAAGTAAATGTATTTTATACTGATTACATCTGACTTGAAAGCCTGGTTTAGCTTTCTTGGGGAAATCTGGCCTCCAAAGCCATTTTGAGCTTTTCAGGCTCGAGAGTAAAGCTTCAATTTGACACTTACATATGAATTCATAAGAACTCGTTGTTCCCAAGTGATACCATGGCTCCACTGGCATGTAATGGTACAGTATCTTTGACAGGGAAAGCACCTTATGATTTAAAAATGTGGTTGCAGAGACCTTTGTCATTGTCATTCTCTGTACTGGACTGTTTTGTTACCTATAGAAACCACAAGAGGTGACAGCACTGGGGAGGCCCCTGGCCCTCTGACTGACAGGCAGGGAGAGCTCAAACCACTTCTCCCAAGACAAAGCTGTGATCTCTTTCTCAGTAGAGGAACTTCCTATACAAGGCCATACATGATTCACAAACCTCATTTTAAGTAGGGCTTGAAGGAGCAAAAGTAATTATTTTCATAATAATTAAGAAAAAAAACTTCAATTTTGCCACCTATAAAAAAAAAAATCTAAAAATCTATACTTCTTGAAATCACTGAAGCTGTTGCAAGAGCTGCACAGAGCATTTTTGGTCAGCTGTTGGATAATCAAATTGCACTCCACAGAACGGAGTGCTGCGGCAGCCCTGAGGACCTGGAAGTTGAATGTGCAGTAGCACTGCCATGTACTTGAAAGAGCTTTTTAACAGAGCTTTGACCCATGAAGGGACTAAATAGTGCTGTCAGACTGTCCCTGAATGCTTTGTAGATAAACATACTGTCCCACCATTCACCCTCGGCACACACAGCCACACAACTTTGTAAACATGCAATGGTACTGATTTCTCTCTTTTTTTTAAGTATCAGGAATGCATCTGTGATATGGAAAAATCTAACACTGCTCAATCTGCCTGTGTGGGGAATGCTTTATGTATAATTTAGAAAAGAAAAAAAAAAAAAAAGAAAGAAAACAATTTCATGAAAGCAAGTCTGACAAATTCCAATTATTTCAGCATTACTAAATCCAAGTTTAGAACAACACAGGAAGTAATGGAGCAGTTACTCTGATCTAATTACAATGGAATTCCCTTGGAAAAGAATATGACTTATGAATTTCTTTTCATTCCAATCAGTGTGTTTGAAACTCTAGGTGAGTTAGTGGGACACAAGAATGGTGCTAGACTTTAGAACTTAAAACAAGATACTAATGTTAAAAAAAGCCTAACAAATACATGTCTGTGATTAGTTTTTAATAAAGACAACAGAGAGTGGATTTTCTAAGCTAAGATACAAACTTGCAGTCTAAGCCAAACACACACAAACCTCAAACCCCCAAAAGGTATATTCAAATATTGCAAAATAGGAAATTACAGATTAATTTTCCATTTAGTAAATTAGCTCACAGCAGAACTCATACCTCTTAAGCTGCATTTTATGTCTCCCTCTTCTGCAGAAAAGCTATCTGCCATCAGGAAATTCCTAAATGTTTAATTTGATTGTATTTGGAAAACTACAATTTATTCTTAGAAAATAAGTACCATATAAGGTTAGACCAGAGCACACCATAGAGACTGCCTGACGAGTCTTATGCATTCAGACTTCTAAGTGCATTTAAAAGGCTGGATTTCAAGGCCTTAAAACAAGCTACTGAAACTGCAGTGATAATTTCCCACACTACTTCACTGACCTCCACATTTGAGACTGGCAAAGTCCAACATAAATACTAGTAATCTGGTTAAGATCTAAAAATGCAGCCTTTGTGTTGGGATTTTCCACATTTGCAGACACTGAACAGAAAGGAATGGAAGATGACAAAATCCCATTTCTCAGAAGTCTGCACTCCCAGAACTAACCATAACAGATCACATGCTGCTAAACCAGGATTAACAAACTTGAGTTGACTTCAGGAAACTGAAGGACTTCTCTCCACCCAAGCAACTTAAACAGGTATCTCCTTAGAGATCCTTCTTTTTAAAAGGTGATTGTGATGTTGGTATCCCAATTTTTCCAGGGTAGCATATTGCAAGTATGCGTAGAAACCACTCCAAAAGCAACCTGAGTGCCAGCACCCTCCACCTTAGGGAATTTAAACCTTCAGCTCACTACCACTGTGCCCAAAAAAAGCTTTCTGGAAATGAGCTGGAGATGAAGATGGAAGGGAATTTGCCTCCTCTCCTCTTGGTGCCAGATTATTGTGCCAGAAAGTTTCTGTCTGTATCTCAGTTTTTAACAGCAAGTGAGCAGGCAATGGAAGGAAGCACTTTGTGGGTGGAAAAGCTCCTAGTCAGGAACCCTCCCTTACCTTTAGCCACTGTTCTGCCTGCTCCTTGCTCTGCACTGCCAGAACCAGGGCATCCGCTCCTTGGTGTGAGATTTTCAGCTCGTGCTTCTTCTTTTTGCTGTCCTTGGGAATGTATGTGATACTGCAGTCATTCAGGAGCAGCTCCATCTGGGGCTGCTGGTCCTTGGAACTTTTGTAACACTAAATAAATGTAAGGAAAGTTTGAAAGTTACATCTCACCTTTCTGAATCTTGGGGGAAAATGCTATTACACAGATATGCTATTTTAAAATTTTTAATATTTTTCACACACCCCTTTAACACATACCACACAGTTCAGCCAACACCAACATTGCATTTCTCGTTCTCTAAAGCAAAATTACTTCCAGACTGACATTAATAGACATCTTTTATTGCAGGACAGGTACAACATATGGAAAGCATTAAGTTTCTACGCGTTATCCTTATGACTCGACCTTGACCTTGATCAGGGAGGAAGAGGGTGATTTAGGATATCTGTTCACATGTTGCAGCAGAGTAAACTTGTACAGTTAATGACTTTAAAGCTCAGATACTCACCCTGCACTTTAGCAACAGCCCAGCATATTAAGTCAAATCTACATCAGTGCCTACATGCTGCAGTTGCAAAGGCACCGGCATGTGCCTTACGCAGCTTTTCTTTTTCTTGAGATAAGCAAAAAATATTGTCACAGTGTGGCAAGGGGGCAAAGTCCCACTTTTTCAGCTATTACATTTTAATAGTAACTACATAAAAACACATATATCTCCATGTTAGCTGACTCCTGGCTAAAACTATATGACTTACACAATGTTTTTTTTCCCTAATTAGTAAATGCTGTCGGTGAACAGCCATTCCATGCTGGATCACTGATGAACTTGCTCTTTGAATTGGTGATGGAAAGATGACGGGTTTACAGTACATCACTCGTCCCATAGATCCAGCCCCTATTTCCACCTTTCAACATATCAGTACAGCAGAGTTCCTAAGGCTGTTGTAGTGCCAGGGTACAGAACAACCTTTAACTGTGTATATGAGTGTCCAGTTATTTTTTATACTTTATATATAAATTGGGCTTTCACACATACAAATATGCACAAAGGCTGAAAAAGTATCTGATAATAAAGAGGTATCTGATATTAAAGAAGACTAATTTGTACATGCATACATATAATAGCTGAGTATAAGTGACAGCAAAAGAAAGCACATGAGCTTTTGCATGTCTGCAGCAAAATTCATGTCATGCTACAACTGTCAGGAAGACAGTAGCTGTTAAAAGTATTTTATAAACACTACAACTTAGGCTGAGCAAATACAGTCACTCTAAACCAGCCTCTGCCAATCACTCATAGTCCTTCGTCCCTCTCCAAAACCCATTAACTCAGTTTCTCCAGCTTGGACACAGAGTTGAAGTTTGTAACATTAAAAAAATTACTGAGTTTTCAAGCTATGAAATCTTGAAAACATACAATATTTGTCATGTCAAGAAGCAGTAATAGCATATAATTCTCTTTAAATTAATTTAAATATTTTATTCATAATTATACATTACTAAACCAAGCATTTATATATAAAAGGACTAAGTAACAAACAATACCCTACTAAAAGTTATTTCTAATGTCTAATTGTAATTGAAATATTTTGGTTTTATGATAACAGCTGCATTTATAACACAAACAATTACTAATCCCTAAGAATATATATTTGTTTTACTTGCATATCTCATAAGTTAAATGTCTAAGTCCTCCTTCAAACAATAAACCAATTTTGTGTAACTAGGTCAATAAACTCCTATTGTGATTTTTATTTTCTTAATCTCCATTACAGAATTACTGAAAGACAATCCCTATACGAAAAAAAAAAGCCTTTCCAGACCACACATGTGCCTAAAGGAAATGAAAATAGGAAAAATAACATATTTCTATACAGAACAACAAATATAATTGCAGAAGAAATATTGTGCGACTTCAGAGAAAAATCTGTTTCATTCTCTATTTCTTTTCTTCAAGCTGCTATCAGACGGTCCTGATTCTGATATATGGTGATAAAAATGTGGACTAAGGACCATGGCATTTTAACAATATAACAAAAAATCAGATCAGAATCAACATTATTTTGAACATTTAAATAGAGGAAGATAGAAAAATTAAATTCTCAGTCAACACTGAAAACTAGCAAATTAATTCCAACTATACCTTCAGAAATCTCTCACCTCTATTTCATATCCTGTTATTTCCTACACAGACACAAGCACAAAAAAGTGCTTGGAAAGTCAACACGCCTTAGCTATATTGTACCAGTATGGCATAATGAGATTCTACAGAAAATACTCTGTCACCTGTCAGTAAGCTTTTAACATGGATACTGCAGTAATTATTAGTTACATAATTAGCTACAACTGCTGAAAGCACCAGATAGGAAGGCAGGAAGTGCCCAACTTATTCATTACTGTAAGCATTAGTTTTCTTATCATGACATAGAAATGTTTCCCTCAATCAGGATCTTTTTTCCAGAAAATAAAAGGACACCTATGAGCAGATTATTTACCTAACTGGTGCCTCCAATCAGAAAGAAACATAAGAGATTTGCTTAAGGAACAAACACACCCACTTATTTCTTCCCCTTCCACAGTGCAGCTGTGTATGAAGTGAACACTGCATCTGTAATGACCAGGGAACAGATGGCCATGGCTTGGTTTGAAGTGTCTACATCACCACGGCACACGCAGCCTAACGAGGCACCAACAAGGGACTTCTCTCTCCAGCAGTCTGATCCAGCAGGTCACTCACAAAGCTCCCTGTGGCATTTTTTTGTCCATAGGGAATGAAAGATTGGATTTACAGCTTTAGTAATGTTTTTTTCCCCCCAAATTAAATACATTTGAACATAACAGGCGAGACTTTCTTTCCAATATCGTGGAACTGCCTGGGTTTAAGTGCAACAAAAAAATGAAAGTTCTAAGTGGCTAAATGTTACTCTTAGATTTTCAGTGCTTCTCTCCTTTTTGGGTAAATCATGACTGAACTCTTTGGTAAGTAAACTCAGCCACTGATTGCAGAACATATTCCAAAAAACAGATTCCTGGAAAAATAAATACATCATCTAAAAAGGTACAAAGATAATATAGTTAGAAATAAAAATTACCAGTAGTTTGTTTTCTTTGATAACACACAGTAGTTTGGTCCACTGCCCAAATCGTTTCTTTCTAAGGAGGAAGGCACAGATTTTGGCATCCTTCACCAGATCCATAGAGGCCTCCTCGGAAGGCCACTGATGCCTCATTTTCTTTCCCTTTCCATCCTCCTCCTCTTCATCGTAGGATTCATAAGAGCTGCTCATAGCATCTGAGTCATAATCTTTAAGAAAAGAATAAAGTGCCAAGTTAAAACATTTAGCTGTGAAGTGTACTGCAGTAACTGAAAATCTCAACAAGGTTCAAGTTAAGAGGTTTGAAAATCAGCCACGAACAAATTAGTGTCTCAGTGCTTAGTAGTATCAGTAAGTTAATTGAGTAAGAGATGTTGTTCCATTATGAAACTTCATAGAAGATCCATATTGACACCTCAGGAATTTTAACAGAAAGAATAAGCTGGGAACACGTAGCTAGAATCTTAGGCAGTGTTTTACAATCTTGACAATATTATTTGGCATATACTTTCATTTTTTATAATTCTTTCACAGAGAAATATCTTCATCTTGTTTTACTGCATTATGCAAAATGCAGTCACAGAAATGGCAATATTAGTACAGCATATCAAGAAACAAGCACTAAACATGCCAAAGGTCACAAGAGTACATTATAGGACACTATCTACCTATCCTAGCATGTCTGATACGATTAATGTTGTTAATGATGAATAAACAATAATGCTCCTTGAACTATAGATTCTGCAAAAAACTTTTTGTTATATGCTTAGCCAAAACAGCTTAATCCTGCTCCAAGTTTGGTGATGGAGTGGCAAGACTCCTCTTTTAATTAAAAAAATCTTTGTTCAGGCCTTCCATTTTCAACAATACAGTCAGCACTAGCAGTCCCCTCAACTAGAAAACTGACTTCCTGTTATCACAAAACCCTCTCTTCCACCATCCATACTTATTTGCTTACATAAGTATGTATATAGCTATACATATCTATATACACAGGCACACATGCATATTTATTTATTAATATAATGTTTGTCAGATAATAACACCTGAAGGCATGTCTGTTATCCACCAGGACATGCTCCCATGGAGGAAAATTGATAGGAATATTTTTTAAGAGCTGAAATTACATCTAAATATTTCAAGTAGAGTTTGATATATTTTTAGGCCAGAAGGTAGAAGAAAATCTCTCATTTGCTTAAGCTAGGTATTTAGGACACAGTTGGGATGTAGGAAGGACACCTGGGATAACTGGGAAGAGGACAAGAGAGTGGATTGCCAGAAAGCTCATTACATCAGTTCCTCCATATCTGCAAAGTCAGAACACCCAGACTTCACATCTCTGAATCAAGACTAGATATTCTGATCCAATTTGTGTTTTCACAGAAGTGTACAAAACAGTGTATCTTCATTTTAAAGTGAAATTAAAATAAAATTTGAAGCTGTGGAACTACTATCTTCTGGTCAATTATGCTACGGAGTGTTTGGTTTGGTGCAGCTCCATATGGGCAAGTGGTAAAAGCCTCAGAGATTATCAGTGGGAAAACATTACAATTTTTCACTTGCTGTACAAAAATCAGGAGAAAGATGGAAAAAATTAAGGTATATGTCTAAATTGACATATTTGGAAACATTTATTCCAGAGTGTTTTTTTCTGCATATTTGTTTAAAAGCATGTATAAGACCTGCTGGAACTTAATCTTTATCCACCTCTCCCTCCATTCTCACCACGAAGTAGGAAAAAAAAGCCTAAATGAAATCCCACCAGAACCAAACCAAACCATTCTCCCCTCCCAACCTCCTTTTGGAGTGGCTATCCACAAACTTTCAGACAGAACCATCAGGAAATGCCTGAGAGATCATTGACCAGTCTCAAACACACAGCAGCATGCCAGCCCGTTTGAAGCAGAGGCAGAAAAGTTCATGTGCTGTTACCAACAACAAACATGTAAGTTCTAGTCACCAAATCAGCATCTTCAAGGCCTTCTCCCAAAGGCCTGGGCTAAGGGACAAGCTGCCATAACCCAAAGTTGTCGCCTTTCTTGGAACTTCATCTTTAACTCCAGGCTTTCCCTTTTCAAAAAAGTAATACTTGGGTGCCCATAGCCTCCTCATCCCTTCTTTGAATTTAGTAGTGAACTTTGTTGCAGTTATGCCACTGACACAATACTCATCTTGTTGTTTGCTACCTTTCTACAATACTCTTTTACCTCATTTGTGATTTTGTTCTAGTTTTGGCAAAAATATTACCCTGAAACTTACTTTTTTTGAGGTTAAGAAGCAGAAGTAAGTAGTCACTACTCAGATATTGAGATACAGAAATACCATTCTGGAAGCATTTTTTTCTGTTTAATTACTAATGAGATTTTTCCTCCAAAACCACCTTTTCCATTTAAAATTATCCGGGGGTTAACTTTCATCACATCAACTTGCAACATGACTGTACAGGACCACTCCTCATATATAGCTTTCCCAAGACAGTGAAGCTGGGCCATTTTTCTACACTGAGTACACACTGAAGAACAGATGTTTGCATGACAGAGTCAAAGACTTTTCTACCAGAGGACGGTCTATCAAATATGCCTTCCCCATCTGGATTTTTAAGTGCATCAATCAAATGGATGCAAAAACTGAATCTGCTTTAACACATTGCTTTGCTTTCGTCCTTAGGACACGATTTAACTTTTGCATACTGCAGAAAAGGAGGTTTCACCTTGAGTAAAATTACAGGTTCGTGTCTTTGCCATATATCAAAAAGTTGTTTTTCTTCATACCATAAATGCCATGCAACAATCTTACTTTCTCTTCAGCAAAGCTAATGGGTTAAATTGTTTTTTTCTCACAACATTGCATCTTATTATTTTTTTCTTACAGTCAGTTTTGCCAGTTTCTAAAAAATTAATTGTAGGAAGTGCTGATTGAGACTCTGAAGTAGAGACTGAAACTCTGCAATTCCTAAAAGGTACTCCCTGCGTGGCTCACAAGCAGTTCACATGCAGATTGCATGTTAGCCCTAAGTGGTATGATCAGCAGAGAGACTCTGCTGGCACAGCAGTCGCAGGTTCAACCAAATCCCTGTTTATAGGATGATGAAAGCCAACAGGAGCTTCTGAGGCTGTCATCCTGACATAGTCTAATGGGACTTCTGGGGACCTGTTGCCATACCCTGCCCTTTAACTACTCTTCATGTTTCACTCCTTGCTTTGTGGGACTCTTGCCCAGAAGAAGAGTTTGCTGTGTGAGACACACCAAGAAGGATGATCACCTTGCACTACTCATAGTATCCAGGCTAAAACTTGGCTGCTCTCTGCCACACCCTGCTTCTATTCTGTTTCTCCAAACTGCTGCATCATATCACAAATGAGGCTTTCAGGCTCTGGGACACAAACTACGGTGTTTAGAAAAAGTGAAAAATGTATCTCTGAAACAAAGTGAAACAAAGTCTCCTAAATTCTCAGAGACTTAGGATGTAATGATACAACATGCTCCAACATGGCTGTTCTACCTTTTTTTGCCCTTCTGCATTTTCTGATTATTCTAGCTTGTTTGGACATTGGGTTTTCATCCTTATCTTCAGCAAAATTTTCTGCTGTTGAGGGGTGGAAATCACATTGGACTTTCACTTTATTTGTAATAATGCATTGTAAAGATTCATCTGTAATAATTTAGGCATATAGTACAGATCAGTCAGTATCTTTTAAAAAAGAGAGGTATCAGACAAGGCATATATAATCTTGTTTTCATCTATAATGCAAGTGTTTGTTTACAAACAGATGACAGAACTTGGGGAAGTTACAGATATTTCATTTTCATCCACCTATATCGTGCAAGTTTCTTCTGTTCCTGTTTGCCTTTTCAAGTAGGACAAATGGTATGTAAGCTTCCTTGATACCAATGACATTACAAAAATATTCCATAGGAATATTTACTTAAGATAATTAGATCTATCCCAAAAGTTGTTCAACAGGTTATTCCTGCACTTCTTACACTTTTAGCACTTCTTTGTTATGATCTTCTCCACCTCAAACAGTCTGAACAGCTAAGGTTACATCTTCTGGTCAATACACTACTTTGGTGGCTTGTTTTAATTACTCCATAACTGGATTTAGTGGAGGTTTTGCTCAAGTGGAGATTTATTATTAATGACATACTGAATTAAAAGCAACTTTATTACCGATGAAGAGTAGGATACTTTAAACACAAGTTAAAAGAGATGATAAGGAGTTCAGGACATAAGAAAATGTAGTAAAATTACAGCAAGTGAGATGATAAATTACACTAACAGAGCTTTAAATACCTGGATATATATTTTTAAATTATGGAATTAATGAACTTTTAAGGTTGATAGCCTAAGTATTTTTACACATTTGGATGGTTAAGTACAATAAGTAAATGTTCCATATTTTGACTTTTTCTTCCCCCAGGTAATCCTTTAGCAATGCTATTAATATTTGTACTATTAATATTTTTCTGCCTGTGCATGGCTCTTGTTTAATGACAAAATACAAATCAGCAGTTCACTGGGTTACAGAGTGCAGTAGGACCACCCTGCAGAATTTCAAGGGAGGAAATGAAGAGTGATTCTGATGCTTTGCTAAGACTGTGTGTTCCTTCATTTGTCTTGTAGTATATGAAACTGTTTCTTACCTTGAATTTCTTAGGAAAATTAAGAGCTGCCAGACAACCTCAGTTTGTGCAGTGTACAAATGAATAATTAATGTTCTAAGGTGACTCCTACACATGTTTTAAGAACAGAGATATCAATTTATTCATTTGTTCTGGTTCGAATAATAAAAATGGCTATAAAATGAGAGAAGATATGCCTTTAATCTTTGGGCCAGAGAAAATAGTGATTAGTGATAAATCAGCCACACAAAAGTAATAAATCACTCCAGCCAATAAAAAAGCAGTAAAAAGGAAATCTTTGCAATGCTTTGGTACCAAGGAAAACGTCCCGTTGATTGACCCTGTGTAAATGCTCATAGCAGTCAATTCGGTGTTTCATCAGCATGCTTTCACCACAGCTTCACTGAAGTGCAGAAGGCTTTGGGTAAGTATTTTGGTGTGAGAAAGAGCGTCTGTGTGTTGCAGAAGGACATTCTGGCGGTCAGTTAGGAGGCAGCCCTCTGCCTTCTGCACTAAACAAGTGGTCACGAAAATACTGTCATGTGCATCAAATATGGTTTGTGTTGCCACTATGACTGATTTATCCTTATCCACAATGTGTCATCAGAGAGGCCGCAAATCACGCCTTTTCAATAATTCCTTTTTCCTATATATTTGTCTTCTTCAGCAAGTAATTCAATGCAATAGAGTAATAACAGTAGATCTCCAGGTCAGCACCAAATTCTGAGATCTCTGCGTTTACAGTACTGCCAGTTTAGAGGAGTTTACTCTGAACAACACTTAACTTTGGACTCCTGGTTCAATGTCCCCACCACATTCAAGCTGTCCAAAAGACCTGTGGCTGATCTGGACCCTTTGTCTCCAATAGCAGTTGAAATTTGTTTACATGCACCTAACTTGAGTTCCAGGTTTTGCTTCCTCTAACAGGAGCCTGGTTTGTGCACACCAAAAGCAGTTCTGCAAACCAAACCAATGAACAGCCCATGAGGACAACCATACTAAGCCCTAAACGGTCAAAGCCGCACTTACGACACATCACCACAGCACTAACAGAGACAGAGCTGCTAAATACTATAAAGGTTGAAGGACACTGGAATTACCAATTGCACAGAAACTATCTGGAAATGGGTTACTCACTGGAAGTGATGTACTCAGGAGCCTTCCCAGGACTAAGTGGCACTGCCTCTTCATAATAGCCTTCAGGAAGGGAAGATGTTGGTAATGGTGGAGGCCCATTATCTGGTGGCTAAATGAAGAAGAAAAAGAAAAAAAAAAAATTCATTACAGACCAGTAAGTTATTAAATTAAACATGGTCAGAGCATCTGCTCATGATCAGTGCTAAGGTTACCAGCTTTATAAACCCAACAGCTGCTCTTGTGTCTATTTCTTATGCTAACTAACCAAAGGCAAAGCTCTGGAGGGGTGAACTAGATGTCCTTTCAATAAGGTGTATTTTGCAGGGCAGCATCTTTTAGAAGGGAAACAAGCCTAAATCTCAAGTTCCTCATATGTTGCTATAATTAAGCAATAAGTAGAGGTTGAGATTTGAAGTAATAAAGTGACTTAATTATGCTTCATAACATACATCAAGACAGTTACCTCGGCTCATGATAAGGAAGAAGAACCTTCTTTCATGTCCTCCTAACCGAGTCCTTTGGGGATCATTTTGTCATTGTTAAGGATGGCAAAATCAAGACAACAGCTACTTTAAAAGTTCTTTCTACAACAGCATTAAGTGGTAAAAATGTTGAAAATATATAGGTCTCTGTTTAAGAACCAGAAATCTAAAGGCTCTATGTAGGCAAGAGATTCCTGTGCATAGACCATATTACAGCAGCAAGCAACAGCCTGGCTGGCTGGTTTAGAAAAGCTAAATAGCCTGGGCTGGCAGAGATTAACGACAGATAATTTAGTCCACATTTTCATGACGAATTTTGGTTTTCAATGGCAAATCAATTCTCAATATAGGCATTAATTTTTAAAATGCTATTTCTACATAGTGAAAACTGAGCTACAACCAATTAAAAGTTTGGAACACCAAGAAAGTATTATATGACAAATATTTCAAATATCAGGTCAAATACTAAAATGCATCTTTGCTAAATATAAACCTGTTTTAAATTTAAAACTGACCAACTGCTGGTATGTTGATAACAGTAACAAAATTTAGTACTCCCTGACTTCTTCCATATGACTTTACTGTTCTATTTCCTTAGCAAGTACCAAAACAACTGTATTTTATAGAACTCATTCATATTTGCCACAGGTTTTTAGTTCCGTATTTTTCTATTAGAGAAAATACTGACTTCTTTTTCCAGCATCAGTGGTTTATTGTTTGATTACAAAAATGTGACTTGTAAGCAGAGTCTCTTTTCTGAAGTAACATTTTTCAATGTATCTTTCTCTTTTTTCATGTAATGAAAAAGAAGTAACAATGTTTGTCTGCATTGCACCAATCTAGTCTAAATTGTGGAACAAACATAGATACTGAAGTAAGAAACTAACCAGTAAGGAAGTGGGCTTTGCTGATGGTCAGAAACAGACATTTCTACACTGCAACTCCAGTGGGCTGAGGTCTAGTAGAGGCATAGAGCCTTCTTCCACAAAACACAGATGAAGCAACAGTGACTATACTCTTCTTTTGCTAGAGATCTAAAATTACCTGGGAGGAACCTGAGCTTTAATAACACGTGGCATCAACTGTAATGAAATTACTTTTGTGGGCACTTTCAGGGCTGGATTTATCTTTGCATATTTCAAAGCTAGACATCTCCAAATCTCATTACTGATTAGGCACCTACACCAGACACGTAATTCTTAACATTGGCAAGATGGGTCCCACCCTTAGTGTGCTCTGTAGTTCAATTCACACCCAGTAGGTTATGCCACCTTACAGGTAAGTGCTTGTGTACTCCCCGTGTGCAGGAAGGCAAGGAGCTAGTGATTAAACTGCCCCTTCAGCTCATCCAGCACTGACTTCTCCTCATGCACCAAGAAAAATCAGAAACTTCCTCGCGAACAGTGAACCGATTCATGAGTTAACACTGAAATTCTTGGTCAGATTGAGATTTACACTGCTATTACTTCTATATCAAATGATACAGACAATTTGGTAAATCACACTCAATTACAGATAACAGAAGGCAATTACTGTTATCTACTATGTGAAGCAAATGCGTTTTTCTCACAGACCAGTTTTGCTAGAGAAATCTATGTCAAAGAAGCAAAATAATGAAAAAAAATACGACTTTCAGCATAGTGTTTGTGTAATTCTGTTTAAAAAAGATCTGTACATCATCACAAAATAAATGAGTCTTTCAAGGATAGCTGCTGCTGCTCAACAAATGTAAGGGATATTAAAAATACTGCACATTCGTTAATATTGGAAAACTGACAGCAATTATAGAATCATAGAATAGAATCCTTTAGGTTGGAATGAATTTTGCACACATCAGGTCTGTATGGCTGGCACTGCTCAACACAACAGGGGGAACTGCCTCCAAAGAGTTTGCATTTTCTCCCTTTATGAATGTAGGCAGAGCCTTGCTCAAGTGAGCTGAGGTCAAGGTTTGTTCCTGGGGCAGTGTAGATTTGTACCACCCCTTTCATTAGACAGATAGATTAATATCTCGGTCAGGCCTTAAACTATTTTTCTCGTCAGGTGTATATATAACGTATGAAAGTCCTACCATTATTAAACCTAATTCACCCAGGAAATACCTGTCCCAAGAGTCATTCCAATTTTGACTTGACACAGCACCAAAGTTTCAAAGCTATCTTTTTTTCCAGAAATAAATAAGAGGTTCCAATAAAGATTGGGATGGGGGGTGGGGGAAATTCCTTGGTTTTAGACAAAATGTTATTCAGAAAGAAAGAAAAAAGGAAATGAAACACAAATGGTGCTTGTCTGAATTCAACCCTGCTGGAGCACCAGTTACTTCATACAGCTGGGGCGGGCTGGGCTATGCAGCCAATATCAACACAGATGGAATCCATTGCTGAATTAACCAGGCCCTCCTCTCTGAAATGTATTTTGCAGTGCTTGCCATAACAAAGTTGAAAACAATTATAGAAAAGATTATAAAAAAAAACAAAAGGAGAAACAGAAACTTCCAACATAAAATACTTTCTGATTAAACTAAGGCTTCTTTAATATTGAAAGAAAATCCAACTGATTAAATGCAAAATAAAAATATCTCACTCGAATCTGTACAATAAACAACTACATCTTTTGTCAACTATGGAATATGTACAAGTTGGAGCAACAAGAAATGTAAAAAGCACATCTGAGTATTCTGATATTACTAATATTTAATCTGTTTTACTATTACTGGTTGTATTATTTAAGTGTTATATATGGCAATTTTTAGTGGAACAATTTTGATGATGTTATGAATTATGAACTGAAATAATTCTTGATTCAATAACTTTCCACTAGTTTACTTGAAAAATAAAACACTCATAAAACCCACAAAGCTATTTACATAACCATAAAAGGATTAAAGCTCAAAAAGAAGGCATTAGAATAAATTTCTTTTATTATTTTTAAGGCCTGCAATAGAGAGAACAACTAGAGAATTCTGTCTTTCAAGAGAAACAACCTTGCTTTACCACAGGAATAAGAACTTTGTTAGAAGAAAAAAAATACTATTGTTTGTAGCTCATTAAAAGAAAAGGGATAAAGATGAGTGAGATACTGTTACTGAAACAATACTGATAAAGGTTTGTCAGGTGCTGGGTCCGAGATCAAATGAGAGATGCTTTATTTGAGACCAAGAAGTGGACAGGGTGATTACCCTACAGGGTTAAAATCTCTGAAGACATCAAAACCTGGATTGTGCATAGGATGCCCAACTCCAGTTTACAGGAGGGACTGTTGAGAGACAGAAACAAATATGTCCAAATAATAAGCAATGTTTACGTGGATAGCAAAACTCATCATTCTACTGGACTCTATGAAAGAGACAGTAGAAATATTAGTTTTATGGTGACTTACGGTCTTCCCATCCACCTGCCCCTCTGTGTTCCACAGGCCACAAAAAAACCCTCTTTTGTTCTTAATTGTAGGAGAGAAATTACTTGTACCCTTCTGTCCAAGAGTATGTAGCAAGAGTAACTTTTTTTTCAGGCTAGTCTAGCAGTTATCTACTGACGATATGGAAGTACATGGTGTGGAAAGCACTAAGAAAGACAGAGGGAAATAAATGTCATCGTACAGGGGCCTGAGGATATAAAATCACTTTACACCCCAATGAAGATTACACTCTGTAGGAAATAGAAAGAAACACCTCCCTTTATGCAGTGATTTAGGACGTGGATATTTCCAGTGCAAAGCAGTGACTTTAGCACAGACTGTCAGCACACCCGTGCTGCAAGCAAAGGCTGCCAACAATTCAAGGACCCTGCTTGCATGTGTGTTATTAGATCAACCACCAGCTCGGATCCAGGCAGACTGTGGAGCCAGCTGCTACATAACCCCTCAACACTGAAAGCAGCAACATGAGACTGGAAAAGTGGTCACACACTGGTGATGCATAATAAAGCTATTCAGAAGCTAGCAGACAAATGTGGGCTGTCGAGAAGAAACCTTGACACATGCACATGCCATTTGCTTTGGAGCAAGCTTATACCTGACCTCTGTACAACCCCACTGCATCCTCATCTTGGAGAGGGAAGAGTGCTCACACATTTATGATCCCTCTCCCCACATGTAAAAAAATGGATGTCCAGAAAGCAACATGAATCAACAAACTGAGCATTAATACAGTTGGCTAAATAACTGACTGCACAGGCTCTAACCAGGCTTCATCATCCCACTGGAAAGGCTGGAAACTGGGCATTAGTACCTGACATGCACTTAGCATGATAAGCTCAAAATTGCTAAGGCAATAAAGAGAAATCACAGTTTATTGCCAGGAGTTGAGGACCTGGATGGACCTTGGATTTATTCAGGACAAAAGTGCTGACTATATGGGATGTTAAGACCACATTGAGCTGTGCAGGAAGGAAATATTAGCCTGAGCATAGACGAGCAGAACCTGAGAAGAATTCTTCATTTGACCTCAGCTCCATATTCTAAGGTTATTAATTTCTCAGCTTGTCAGCTGCAGTCTACAAAATTAGGAGCCAAAAAATGTGAAAAAAGCCTAACAATATCTTTTTTCAGCTTCTGAGCACATCTGACAAAAGACAGCAAACCAGCCAGCAAGACCCCAAACCTTCTGGAATAGAGTAACTGTCAGTCC